AAAACAGGGTGGACCTAGGAGGGATGAAATAGTGGGAAATTTAGAATATTGCATAACGAGGAGCTTCGTGAATTGTACGGGGCACCTAGCACAGTGAGGAGTCTCCGATGGGCTGGACATGTAGCACGCTTGAGGGGATTTTGGTAGGAAATCCTTCTGGATAAGGTCCACTGGACAGACCAAGGAGGAGATGTGAGGATGACATAAAGATGGATCTTAGGGAGGTGGGCTGAGAGGATGGCAAATGGATGGAATTGACTCAGGATCGTGGCCGGTGGCGGGCTTTGGTGTTGAACCTAGGGAGTTAGTTAATTAGTTAGTAGGACTTTTGTTTGAAACATTTTTTCGCTCCACGCGCGAGGGTCTTCATGTAGTAGTGCATTGACTGATACTTTTCTCAGATTTTAAACAAAACTGGAACATCTCCAGAAATTGTAGTCAACAACTACTACAAGGATTGGGCCTATTGACCCGTTCCGGGACATTTTCTCAAGGCAACTTATCCTTATTAGTCTTGTAGGGTGCATTTGAGTAGTAAGTGGCAAGCCCACTCTGCCTCTGCACAATTTCTTCTCAATCCTGATTTGTCTGCTAGAGCCATCTAGTAGTGAATCAGGAGAGATTTGGGTGAGAAATGGCCGCCGAATTTTGCTTACGAAACATTTCGTTCATGCCCAGTTTACACAACCCTGGCACAACCCACTTTCCAAACCATGAACTTGGTGAGGACGTATAAATGAGTTGTATGGTTGAATGACCTCTTAATCATCGTCATGATTTCTTGGGCACACCGTATTACGACGATGTCGGCCCAAGGCCGCCCATGTGAGTGTTTGTTGTTGGAACACTCCGCCTGTCTAGTCTCCTCTGTGATTCTGTCGAGTGCATGTGTTCAAGCGTGATCTCTCTGCGAGGCACAAGCAACCACGATCACCAGAAGTTACCTGGGCACCAACAAGATCAGATCAGTGTTTCACTTCATAGCGTTTGTCGTCTATAAACTGATAAAACATGAACGTATTCCGATTTTAAAAAGTTGTTTTAGAAAGTGGCGTTAAAAAAAGGAATGTGGATTTCTCCCTCTGAGTAGACTGGTGTACATGCAGATTTATTTCATATTTATTCGTGAATCCTCGTCTGGTGGCAGCCCCTTACAAATATAGGTATGCCTGAACAATCAAGATCCCATCAACCGATCATTTTACAAAAATGTTGTCAACCGCGCAATAGACCCGCGTGTGTAACTGTGACAGTCCTCGGATTTGTCATTGCAGCTATTCTTTTAGCTTTTGTGGCCTTCGGACAAGACGAATCGTCTCATGCGACTCTCCGATTGGTTAGCGTGGTAAGTAACAACCAATGGGTTTTATTTACGGTATTAAAATCACCATTTACTTTCACATCCTTCGATAAACTGCACGTTTACTTCTTTAGTGATATTTATTTTTCTCGAACTTTAATGAAATTGAAGATTTTCTAAATAATATTTTAAGAATCCAGTCCGTACCGCGAAGAAAACACCACACTTAACCATTACAAAGATCGAAAATAATGTTTTAAGAATTCAGTCCGTACCGCGAAGAAAACACCACACTTCACCATTGCAAAGATGAATTGGTTGAAGCTGTTTAAGCTAGTAACAGCTGTTCACAGCGAGAATCATGGCGAATTAATATTCTGATTCCGCTAACATGGTTTGGCGTAATTTGTTAAAACCCGTTCAACCTTTTTCAATTTATCCGGTTTCTTAAACTGATTCTTCTCAACAGTTTTCACAATTAAATTTTCCACGTATACATATTCATTGTTCACCCGCACTACACGTCCAGTTTATTTCAAACTAAACATTTAGTTTATGCATGAAAGGTGTAGATTATAAAGCTTCACGTTACGTAATTTCCTCCATTCCCTTGAACAAAACATGGCCGAGTGTTGACGTAAACTGGACGCAAACAGCATTGTGTTTTGTGGCGCGAAGTTCCGCACCTTTATCGCCTACCTCCTGTAATGCTCGAGGCTTGAAACGTGCTTTGTCACAAGGACATCCTCAAATCCATGCAAACCCAAGGCTACCTTTACATAGCCTGCATTTACCGGAAAGAAAAAAAAAACGTAATTTGTTTTTGAGTTGCACAGCGTAAAAGACGTACTTCATACTGCGATCTCCACCTTGAAACTATCTCATTAATTTCAAAAATATTCTAACAACAAACGTAAAAGAATACTTTTAGCTCATTCAGGTAAATTAACTTCGATTTAAGCCTTAGCAGTTTCATCCTTCGACATTTTATCTGATTTAAGTTATGCTATGTGTTGTTTTGTAAAGAACGCCTATACGTTACGCTGTGTTACAGGTGTTCCGACATGGAGACCGGACTCCAACGGAGACGTACCCCACGGACCCACACAGGGAAGCAGACACGTGGCCCGAAGGGTGGGGAGCTCTTACCAAGGTACGACGTGTTTAAAAATGGCACTGAAGGTGGGACATTTGTGTCTTAGAACAACGAAATTTGGTGTGGCTGTAGTCGCAGCACTGCAATGGCAATAATGAACACAGCTACATTTTCGCATGAACCGACGGTGGAAACAGCGCCACGCACTGCAATGCGTCTCCTTTGATGATTACTCCGGGGAAATTACTGTATAACGCAATTAATTCTCTCTTACAACCAAATTACGATGCCCCACAAGGAGGAAGAGGAAGCCAGCGGTCGGCATTCGAGCTGCGTCATTTCCGTAGCTGTTTAATTCTCCACGCCAGAGCTTGCGTGTCCAGTAATCCTTTGCCAACATGACGGCAACAATGGTCAGCCATCTTAACAAAATTAAAAGCTGTCATGGTCTCCTGCTAAAAGAGACAATACGTGCTTCGAATTCATGAATACGCCTAAATTCAAAAATTACACTGGGATTTTTATTAAACACAGTCTTAAAATTGTTGCTGTTAGAAAGAACGTTTTCTCTACGCCCTGAGAGAAAAAAAAATCTCAGTTATTTTTGCATTGCATAAATCAGTCCTGTAGAGAAAAAAAATCAGTTATTTTTGCATTGCATAAATCAGGAAATGTATTTAAAGAAGTCACATAACCTTCAAAATGTCTCGGGCAACATTTTTTTAAAAATAGAATTAAGCTATAAAATGAGTATAACAAGAGAATATCTGATTCTTTATGTTTCTGACACATCGTACTAAATGCAGCCATTGTTACTTTCGTTTCAACCCCAACCCGTCCCAGGCCCCCGAGACAATGCCCCAAATAATCTTACGAGATAAGAAGAATGTTAAGGCCAAACGGAGATAAGGTATAAGATAAGCGTATTTACAGTTACACAACCTGGAAACTTTCTAATACAGCCTAGCAGATTCTTTCTTCTAACACGCAGCAAAATATTGCAGAAAATTGCTATATTCTGGTGTGTAGCGCCGTGTAGTCTGGTAGAAGTTTACCGACGTTTCAGACGTCCTTCCTGCCTCCACCATCGGGGCGATGACATCGTAAGCACCTCTGAAACGTCTATAAACTTCTACCAGACTACAAGGTGCAGAAACCCCGAAGACTCCAGACTGGCCGCCATGAGAACCCAAAATGTAACAAAAAAATGGAGAGGGGATAAATTTCTCCCGTGGCACTCCCCCCCCCAACCCATTTTCGACGTCACTTAACGGACTCAAGATCATAAACGTCGTAAATGATATACCAAAGAAATGGACAAATGCCAACATAAGCGCCGCGTACATCAGCACTTAATACGACCTGCAATTTCAAGAAAACGCCAGTAGAAAGTAAATCTGAAAGTGAAGACTTACGTTGATCGACTCTTTATTTAAAGACATCGCACCGTCGCCAAAAACATCATCGAAAGATAAGCACTGCTGGTTTGCATCTGGTAGGTCCGTAGTTCGTTTCTGGACTCAAAAGCAGACTCTCCTTACTCAAACATTTTCAAGACTTTTCCTTCAGTACAATCCTGGTACATAACCTTAAAGCAGGCCACGACCTCTTACTTCTATGACCTTCCCAATTCGTAATTCACAACAATCTTATTGGAATCTTTTTACCTTCCTGTCTCCAGTCTGAGGACTATAATTTCAAGATAAAATTTCCATTCCCATAGTCTTTAAAATAAAGTTTAACATTAAAATAAAAATTAAGGGTAAATTATTTTTTTAAAGCAGCAGAGCGTAAGGGAAACACGTCCTTGTTTGTTGTTGCAGAAAGGTATGCAACAGATGTTCAATCTAGGACAGTTCCTGCGAAAACGATACAACGGATACCTTAGCGAACTGTATTCTCCCAAAGAGTTTCTAATTAAAAGCAGCGCCAACGACCGTTGTCTCATGAGCGCACAGGTTGTTCTTGCAGGACTCTACCCCCCCACGGGAATGCAAGTGTGGAACCCTGACCTCAAATGGCAGCCCATACCAGTTCATTCGACCCCAAGACATTTGGACCAGGTAACATAATATGTTCATTTTTCAAGTTCTACTAAGATACATAAATTTAGTGATATTTTTAGTCTTTATGTGAGTATAAGAGTGTGTTCATCTTTAAAATTCCTTCAGCTCCACCCCTGAACACATCAATTTGTCACCACTTTTGACATCAGTCACAACGGCTGATTGTCTTCTGAGCTTTTTATATCTCTCATAAGTAAAAAACCAATTTTGTTTCCTTACGTGGTCTATTTTAATGCTGTCCTATCCTCTTTGTAGTCTTATAAGAGGCCATCAAAATTCTGCATACACTTCTTATTTCTCCACCTGAGCTACGCAGGTACCGTGGCTACTTCTGACCTGAATTCCTTTGTTATTATACGAAACCAGCAAAAGTAAATTCTCTTGCCATTTGTTTCCATGGTAACCAAGGTGATCAAAGTAAATGTTGTCTGCGGGTCATAATGAGACGAGCTTAAAACAGTATTTACACTCTTTATGTGTTGTGTAAATTGACATTTTTCTGTAAAATTCTGCAAAATCAAATTTCATCAAAATTGGTTTATCCATTCTGCCCATCTTCAAGTTGTTTCGTGAGTACAGACAGACAAACGGATGATCAGGTTATTTTAATACGCACTTGGGCGAGCTGTGAATATGCCTGAAAAGGAATTTGTTTTCTGAATTAAACTGAACACAGAAAGGGATAAAAAGTTTTCCAACTAATGGTTGTCTTGCAGCTAATTGCAATGAAGAAACCGTGTCTGAGAAATGAGCAGGAGTTACGGAAAGCGTACAGGTCCAGTACGATAACAGAGCTGAACCACGATAATGAAGATCTGTACGGCTATCTCACTACGCACACGGGGCAGAATGTCTCAAATATCACAGCAGTCGAGCTCCTCTATAACACGCTGGAAATAGAGGCAAGTTTATGTTATGATACTGGAACGTTGGTCTTCTGGTGGACTTGGCCTGTCAATCGCCAAAATAATGTTCCAGTCAATCTGACAATCATTAAATTTAAGAAAATTAATTCAGTATTTCCATCGATGGTATTTAAGATCTTCTGTCAGACTCAGTAAAATATTCATAAAATCATATTTCAGTCCAATACGAGATAAAATTTGACGGTTCTGGAAGCCAAAGAAAACCTCTTCAAGTAGGCTCTCAAAATGTCAAAATATTTGAAACTGAAAGTGTTCAACTTTTCAGACACAAATAATTAGAAATAAGTACATTTTTAGAGACTGCTCATTGGAAAATAATAATTTATTCTATAAATATGTTCAGTTTATGTAAACATTTGACATTTTTTTTTTAACTATAGAGATATTCTTGCAAGGATCGCCAGTGGTATGATCATTTCAAAATAGCCTATTCTAACCTCTGAGAAAAATTACCCGCCCAACCCTTTCTGAAGGGGTCCACGGACCACAGAGGCTCCGGCAGACGGCAAACAGCCTTACTAATCAAATTAAATGCAATTAGCACTTATGTTATAGGATTCAAAAGGGCTTCGTCTGCCAGAATGGACACGATCTGTGTACCCTGAGAAAATGAGATATTTGGCAGCCATCAGTCTCACAGTCTTCACCTACAATGAAGTCTTGAAGAGACTGACAGGAGGTGAGAGTGTTCTGTGGCTATAAACCTTACATTTCCGCTTTTAATGCAGAGAAAAATAGCGTTAATGGTTTCCGTAACTTTGCTGTCTGTAGCTCAAACTATATGGCATTAAAAAAATAGTTGATTTTCGAATAATGAATTGAAAGCCCTTCGGCCACTCTGATTTAATTTCTGTTATGATCTATAGGTCCACTGGTGGGAGAGATCACACAGAACATGGAGAATAAGCGGACAGGCTTGCTGAAGTCTGACCAAAAGATGGTTCTTTACTCAGCACACGATCTCACTATTGTGAATCTGTGGCGTGCCCTGGGATTCACAGACCTCATTAAACCTGATTATGGGGCATCGCTAGTGTTTGAGTTGCACAGGACTCGATCAGGGACAAGCTTTGAGGTGAAGGTTAGTAAGGCTTACCAATTATGCATCAAAGAGTGGGGTTAAATATGTTGTAACACATTTTTAAATTTGACTGATGTGTGAGAGGAACTTACTGCCTCCATCATCAGTCAATTTCTACCACACTACATGGTACAACATACCAGAAAACTGTCATCTTCACACTCATCGCTATGAGAAGTTGAAATCTCACGAAACAGGCTTATCTAGAGCTAATCTTTGCACTTTCATCTGTGATATTTCGTAACTCTCTTATTGGTGATCTTTGTATTTCTCTTGTTATTTACTTTTCTTTACCTTATGAATTAAAAAATAGAATTGTTGTATCAGTGTCAAAATTGTTCTCACAACTTCTTTTTCCGTTTCCTGCCTCACGAAATGCATTTCGTCTGAAACCGATATTCTTCCGCTCACTTTGCACCTGGCTCGTGCTTCTGTATTGATCCAACAAGTGTTTGTTGATAGATTCGTGTTTAGGTTACATAAAATCAAACGCCGGGAGCAGTACAGCGGCACAATCATTATTTGCAGATGTTGTACCTCAACAACACAGCCACATACCATCTTAATATACTCAACATGCCGAAGTGCGGACAGCCCTGTTACCTAGATACTTTCCTGAGACTCGCCCGACCAGTGGTGCCAGAAGACTGGGATCAGGAGTGCCAAACCACTGTAGAATAATAATAAAATGTAATATATATATATATAATCTACCTGTAATTATTTTTATACTTCTAAAGTATGGAATGATTTACAAAATTACTGAAGAGAAATATACGATTTTTAAATTTTTATAATTTTGGTAATTGTTTTGAATATATGTTAATAAGGAAATTAAAACAGTGCAGTGCCACGACTCTCTCAATCACAAAACAAAATACCATCACAAGTGACTTGAAGGAATATCACCAATAAAAAATCTTTTTTGCATCAGAAGGAAGTCAGTAACATAGTTTTTTGTGTCAATTCGTAGACCTCGTGTACGCCAGAACACAGTCTGACGAATATGTTAGAGTAATTTATTATTTTAATTTAAATGGTAAGTCAGATTATAGCATACATTCCTAGGGCACAGCCTAGTACCTGACACAATAATGACGGTAAGTTACGAAAGTAGAAAATAATAAAATGTTTACATTCCAGCCCATTTGAAAAAGAAATAAATAATACTGTTTAACCTAAAGAGTGCCTTGACTACTTATATATATGGGGTAACTGAGAAGTGGTGAAGCACTTCTCAAAGCTTGTCTATAAAGTAATAAACCACACTGCAATTGATACTGGACACTTCATGAAAGACGTGCTTAGAGTTGACCTTGTATGGCACAAAGCCCCTATTAACATGCTGCCTGGCTTACTGCCCAGAGCAGTCAGACCAGGAAACAGAACCAACCCACAAACATGAATAGGACTCTTCTCTCCTCCCTTCTAAAGCTGCTTGCAGAAATTTTAGTGTTTTTATAAGAGCATCTGTTTACAATATCCATACCCAGAGGATAGTCACAGACATGTCAAACTCATAACGTTCTTCAATGTTTCATGTAGCTTGACTCAGTTCTCAAATTACAATGACGTCAAAATTTTAAAAAAAAATCCTAAGTTCCAAATGCATGCCAAATAGCTACTCATGTATCGCTGTTTTCTGCTTCAATTAAATAAATTTGAATACGTTTCAATGAAATTCACACAACTGTGTGCAGTTTCAGGAAATGAAAAGTATATCCTAAGCTTAATCTTGGACCTAGCAAAAGTAAGGTTATGACTTTCTGTACTCGCGAAATGCCCCAGCAACTGCCACCTCTTTTAAAGTTCCCTTGTAATAATTGCTGATTTGAAACACTCAACTGTCTGGAAATTTGTATTAGAATTAGATTCGGAACAGTCAGTCACAATGAATCAACTGTAATTGTCATAAAAAGGATATCCACAATTAACTATAATTTTAAAGGAAGATCCTTTTTGGAATGTGCAGTGGGCAATAGGCCAGATTGTAACTGTTCGTAATAACCTCACATTGATGTTGAAGGATATTCAAGTGGTGGTGAATACAAATTGCTGCAGTTTGAGGCAATGTTACATGATCCTTACCATATAATATTAATTTCTAGGTACTTCACATAAATATGTCTTGTGTATTTTGTTGAATTTAATGAGATTTTCATACCTCAGGTAACATTTCCTGTATATTCTGATTAGTACTGACACTGCGGTTCAGTGTTGAGAGAAACACAACATGTGTATTAAGGAACATGGATGATAGTGACCCTGACAAGCTTGTTAAATAAAACCACTCAACAGTTTGCACATGTGTAGTTGAAAGAAGTCAGCTGGAGCAAATTAAGGCAAGTTTAAACTTAGACACTTTTAATAAGAGCATACTAGTATGAAAACTAATTGCTACGCTTATCATCAAAGACATTAACAAACCAAACAATTTTTATTATGAAACTTCAGAATTGAACCACTAACGCCAGTAATTAACGATAATCTCACCAGAATAATGCCTTTGAATAAATACATATTTACCTATTCATAACATTGTAGAATATAAGACAAATAAGTAAATCTCTTCTTCTCTATTCAACATGCAGATAAACGTAAGTACTCCCTGACTTATATCTCTCACCTTCTGGTTCTTCTGTAATTTGTGTTGAAGCAATAATCATCCCTCAAGTCCCAGGCAGGAACATAACTGTGTGTTGAACAATCTAAAAACAATTATTCACCATTTCAGAAGTCAGCTTGCGAGTCCTTAAACTTATATAGGTTTAAAAATAGTATTAGCACCTACAATATCTTATATAGGTTTCTGAAAATAGAAAATGTCAGTGTTATACCCCGAAAAGTTTCAGGAGGGGGGGTTCGGTAAATTATTCAAATTCTTAATCACAATTGCCCCTTACTATTTTAAAGGACAATAATTATTTTATTACAAATGTGATGTTCAATAATTATTTTGTATGGGCCAACTTCCCCCACACGGGCCCATTTTTTAAATGTCGGAGCATAGTACCACTTTGGGCCAGGGGAAAGCTTGGTATTACTTCAAATTGTTTTTGGAAATACTTTTTTGCATAATACCAAATAAATTACATAATATTTTAAAGTTGGCGTAAGTGTTATCGATATCGTCAAAAGATAATTAATTATTCTTTCATTATATCGATTTTTATGCAAACAACATATTGCATTTGGGGGTTATGTATCAGAACTAATAAAACTATCTGAATCATTAAATATGTTAGTGCAAGACCTCAAATATTTTAAGAAAACATTTTCACAACGCTATCTTGTCTAGTCATCATTTTCATATGGTGACGTCACCAGTATTCCAGGTCATGGGAAGCAGACGCCCAACTAAGCAGTTGAGTGCAAAGTAGGGGAAGGATCGGACATAACCTTTATTTTTTTGTGGTAATTGACAACTGTGAACAGTGCACACGTGTAAAAATGTTCAGTTGGCTTAGCAAAGATGAAAACAAGAAGACACCTGAGTTGTTTGAGAATGTTGTGGAAGGGCTCAAGAAGATTTACAAAACTAAGTTACTTCCCTTGGAACAGTTCTACCAGTTTCATGATTTTCATTCACCGATGTTGGACGATCCGGATTTTGATGCTAAACCAATGATACTACTTGTTGGGCAGTATTCTACAGGGAAAACAACGTTTATTAAATATTTATTGGAACAGGATTTTCCCGGAATACGAATAGGTCCAGAACCAACTACTGATCGGTTCATTTCAGTCATGTATGACGATAAGGAGGGCGTAATTCCAGGAAATGCATTGGTAGTCGATCCTAACAAGCAGTTCAGACCTCTAACAAAGTTTGGAAATGCTTTTCTAAATCGTTTTCAGTGTTCGTTAGTAAATTCTCCAGTACTTAAGGGTATGTCAATTGTTGACACTCCTGGTATTTTGTCGGGTGAAAAGCAACGTGTGGATAGAGGATATGATTTTACTGGTGTATTAGAGTGGTTTGCGGAACGGGTGGATAGAATTATCCTGTTGTTTGATGCACATAAACTTGATATTTCTGATGAATTCCGAAGGTCCATTGAAGCTCTACGCGGGCATGATGATAAAATCCGTATTGTCCTTAATAAAGCTGATATGGTGGATCACCAGCAGCTCATGAGGGTTTATGGTGCTTTAATGTGGTCTCTAGGAAAGGTGCTACAAACCCCTGAAGTAGCACGTGTGTACATTGGTTCATTTTGGGACCAGCCTCTCAGATATGATGGGAACAGGAGGTAAGTTAGAGATGGACATTATATCATGCTATGAAAGGAATTGTTATGTTCTGATCAAAGAACTGAAGAGAACTTAATGTTTGGTAGGTTATTTGAAGATGAAGAACAGGACTTGTTCAAAGATATGCAGTCACTCCCAAGGAATGCAGCTCTGCGGAAACTGAATGATCTAATCAAAAGGGCTCGATTAGCAAAGGTAATGTAGAATTTGGTTAAGTTTTTGAATAGATAGGAATATCTTTTCCATTACTTCCCACAACTCATCCTTCTACAGTTTGTTCTCACATTTTCCCCTCCTTACATGTGACAACTGTCTGAACCTTCTGTTCTCAACTTGATCTAAGTCTCCCACGTGGGCATTTTCCTTTCACTTTCATGTTTAAAACTTATTTTCTCAAAACTTCTTTGTATTCAAGGAACATTTCTTTTATAAACTGATCAACTTTTGTCAGTGTGAAGATTGAAGTACAATAGACACTGACCAAACTGATTAAATCTAGATTAAAATATCAAAAGTTTCCAGAACAAATGTTGTTCATAACCCTAGTTAGTGTATGGAACATTGCTCACTTCAGTGCCACGTTTACTCATTACTACCAATCCACTAATTTCTTCCTGTGAGTTAAGCTATTTTTTCTCTTGCATATGGATGTGAAGGTCACCGTCAGAAACGTGTTAAACATTCTGTCTTTACAAGCAAATGCCAGAACAATACAGTTCATGAGTTTCCAGCCTATTCATTCTCTCCACCATGTTTTCAGATTTCCTTACCATCTGTGATTGCTTGTCTCAACTCCTTTCTAGCTATGTAGCAACTACAACCATTGTCTCTCTCAGAGATCAACATTTAGGACATGGCCTAATTTGAACATCAGTTCAATTGAATGGGCGGGTTTGATGTCTTGTTTTATTTATCATTTTGCTCAGAATATGTTATGGGGTTCAGTGGTTGGCTGTTGTGAATGCAGTAACAAACCTTTGGGTTCCATAAAAGGCAAGATATTTCATGACTTGTATAGCATATTTTTGGTTTTTCATAAGGACTCTTCTCCATGAAGTTACTGTTTGTACATTATTGACTGTAGTGAGAAAAGTAAGGCGAGTTTGTCCTTAGGTGATGTGACATAGAGCGAGACCATGTTCCACCATACTCCTAAATGAACTTGAGAACAGATAACCTGGTTTCCATTAATTAAGAATTGTCAGACCATGTCACTTGTCATTTGTATCAGACAGTTTTACTTTACATGAGAACACATATTTTTGACCTCATTTCAAATTCTTGAGATGAAAAGTTGCATAACTGACTATTTTAACTTGCTTAAATATCACAAAGATAAATTTAATTAATGGATTTTAGCCTAATTTGATAAACATTAACTACAGTATTAATTAATTAAAATTGATAATTGTGGTGAAATATGATGTCATGGGCATTGTAGTTCAGTTTTCATTCTCCAGTTGGCCAAACCTTTGACACTAACATTTAAATTCATTCTTTTGCTTAGATGTCATGTTAATTCTTATTAATATTGGATACTGAGAGTTAAAAATCAGTTGCGCAGTTAATAGCCTCAAAAGGACCACCACAATGAATTAACTGAGACTGTTCCTTTCACAGGTTCATGCATACATTATCAGTGCTTTGAGGAAAGACATGCCTTCAATGTTTGGCAAAGATGGCAAGAAAAAGGAACTGATTAAGAATCTGGGGCAGATTTATGATCAGCTGCAGCGAGAACATCAGATTTCACCCGGAGACTTTCCAGAACTAAAAAAAATGCAAGAACATCTTGTGCACCATGACTTCACCAAATTCCATCCTTTGAAGCCACGCCTTCTTGAGGTGGTTGACAAGATGTTGGCAGAAGACATTGCTCGACTTATGGCCATGATTCCCCACGAAGAAGTACACACTGTCATCGAACCACATGTGAAAGGTTTGAATTTTTCCCCCCCTCCCTGAATGTTCAAAGAAACTGTTCATTCAGTCCATAATAAAGGATTTGAACTAGGGTCTTCTCAGTGAAGCATTAGTGCCAACCTCTACGGCTCATTAGTTACGAGTGAAGTTCATTAAGAATTGTTTGAGAGTGATTACCACATACCAAGTCTTACTAGAAACTTTCTAGAGATTGGTAACTTGGTGTTCCCAATATAAAACAAAATCATAGGAATGTGGCATGCAGTAGAAACGTCTGACAAAAGATTGAAGACTTATTTTTCAGGCTACAGAGTTGTGGGAAAAGAATCACGCAATTTATTACTGAGCCATACTTATGGTAAATGCAGTAACCTATCTTTCCTGTGTTGTATGTTAGGTGGAGCATTTGAAGGCGTTGAAGACACTGTGAGTCCATTTGGCTACAAGCGAGGCGAGGGCATTGACGCAGGATCCGGCGAACCAGAGTGGATTGTCAGCAGGGAAAGATACAAGTACGACACCATCTTCGACGCACTCAGCCCTGTAGATGGTAAAGTTACAGGAGCTGGTAAGTTGTAGATGAAGATTTGTTAATCTTACTTTCCCCTGTTTTGGGGTTGGACTTGCATTTTGTATGTGAAAAATAAGCAGTTTTAAGGGAAGCGTACTTAAAAAAAACTGGCATTAAAATGAATCCTTTACCAGAAAGTTTACCAAATCATGTTGACTGTAGTTGCAGAAAATTTCACTCAGACCTGTAAGTTAGTATTGTGAAGAATTTAGTTGTTGTAGACTCTTTGGTATTCAATTTAGAAGTTGGTAAATAAAAGGTTGTCCATTTATTTATAACATTTCTGTCATTTTATATGTCTTTTTCAGCTGCAAAAGCTGAGATGGTGAAGTCAAAGCTCCCCAACTCAGTTCTTGGAAAGATTTGGAAGCTGTCGGACATTGACAAGGACGGACTCCTTGACGCAGATGAGTTTGCATTAGCTATGCATCTGATTAACATCAAACTGGATGGGCATGATCTTCCATCTGAACTTCCAGACCATCTAATACCGCCTTCAAAACGGAACATGTAACACATACTGCTTTCTGTTAACATTATTTATATACATTTACACCTAGGCACAATGCTTGTAAATTGAGGCTTGTCATAACAGCATTAACTTCGGTGTTGCCTTTGGTGCTGAAAGCACGAGTACTGAAAATTATACTGGTATGACAGTTTACTAAAGTAAGAAAGAGTATTTTTCATTTACGTAATACGTACAATTTTTAATAAATATATTGCATTTTTGTATCTTAAGTGAATGTGGAATGTTGGAAATACTTGGATGTGTCAAGTTACAGTTGCAAATTCATTATAGTCGATGTTAGAAAAGTTTACTTTTGAAGTATTTCACATTTATATGAATTTTGGAATTCACCTAACGTACTGCATCTTAACCGAGTGTTAATCAGATTCTTGCCGAAATTGTTTAAGTATTATCATCTTCTTTCCTACATTAGAGACAATGAATTTCATATGTTTGTATCAAACATTTTGTCATCTAAATGTTAAAAAGTGTATTTACAACTATACAAATTCAATAAAATCCTCTCGGGCAACATGTGGCAACAAAATGGAGTGATGTCTCTGAAACGTTGACTACTGCTCCATTTTGACGTGGCTCGTCACCCGAGGGGATTTTATTGCATTTAGTTGCTGCAAAAGCCTCGAGTCAAAATATACAAATTGCCGAATTTGTGCCTAATATAAACCAGATCAATATTTCTCATTCTCTCGTTCCAGCACTTCGTCAATTTAAGAAAAGAAACAGTTCCGCTTGCTCAGAACTGAAAGGCCCAAATTATTGTCTGAATGAAATGAAAATCTTGCGAGGTTTTCTATGGTATAACCCTGGAATTAGTACATAATGGAGTATTGAGTTTTGATGAAGTTGGGTTATGTTTGTGGCTAAATGCTAAAATATCTATAATGAGAGCACTGTCGTTACGCCCATCAGTAAATCTGAAGTATGTAACATTGTACTCACATTAACTGTACTGTTATTAATTATTGAAGAGTAAATAACTTTGATAGGCACACTCAGTGTTTAATCTGCATTGATAAAAATAACACATCTGAAATGGTTTGAATTTTCAATCTGTTTTGTTCCCCCAGGGTTCAGGATGAATTTTTAGAAATTTTTTCCACTTGATATACTTGCACATCCATAATTTCTAATGCTGTCTACATTTTCCAACACTGAAAAATTACAATGCGTTAAAAAAAGTTTATTTCATAAAAAGTGGATCCAGTTTCTTGTGTTCTGTTGTGGCGGTAAAGTCCCATAGTTTAAAAACTTCAGAAGTAGCTCTTACAAGATAACTACTTGTGGCCTTAAAATTTGGGATGTTTCTATACTCGGTAACAGTGAAATAAGATACATTTATCAGCAGCTGGCTCTGATAACTACATGGCGTGATGGTATTTATGCTCTGAATTAAATTACATGTGTCAAATGTAATGAAACATAATTTTTTTTGTTCCAAGAATATGTAGACTGATTATGACAGGAATGTAATAGAGTTTCTAATAAAACCAAATGTACAGCATATATTAATAGGAATTACAAGCATTTTTAATTAATATTTTAATGTATGTACTGTAAAGTAAATATAATTGTTCTATTCCATGTACAAAATGACGTTAATACAAATGCCTGATGTGAATGGTAGTTCCATGTGTAGCATGCATAATTAGATATTAGGATACTCAACATTCTCTGGATTTCGAGAAGCTATACATTACAGGAGAGCTATTTCACTATGAAATTTGAATCGAGCATTTTCACTTCAGTACAAGTTTAAATTTGCTACTCCACATTTTAATAACATTACTCCAAAAGAATAGAATTAATAATATATATGAGGTAGTATGACTGAATAAAATTGTAAAGGGTTATGTGCAGTGAAAATTCTTTTAATGGCACTGTAATAACTGTTTGAACCACAAAGTAAAGTGATAATTACCTCAAGTTTCCACAGGATCTTTCAGATTGAATAGTGTTTGGAGTTTGGCTTCATATTTTGAATTCACCTTTTAGTATAAATATGACCAGCCCAAAAGTTAAGTGTTATTATACATTTCAAGGTAAAATGTTAAATTTGCGTGTACTATATTAGTCTGATAAGTTAGTTTGCTTTTATTAACAGTTACATTCAGAAGATATGTGAAGTTATATTCTAAGTCCCATCAGTGTAAAGATTCCCTCTCCCACCCCCAGAGGTTCTTGAAACACGGTTGTCAACACTAAATTGTGCACAAGACCCATAATTCCAGATATGTATGGGAGAGTGCCCCTTGGTATAATAATTTGTCTTCTTCCCTTTCATATATTGTAAGAAATGAAATTATTTACATTATACTAAGTGCAAAAATATTTGGAATAATTTGTATTTAATTTTATAAGCATAGTTGTTTGTGGACGAGACATAAATATATGACATACTGAGTTGCTGTTAGCTTCTTGAGGACTCTGCTCACAGATGTTCATTTTTTAAATGTGTCTGTTGTTTCATAATACAAAAAATTCAAATCATGTGTGTTGCAAGTAAAGAGCATTAGCATTGTTTTGCAGAACCAGAAGTTCCCATTAGTCTTAGAAATGAATTATTTAATTTACAGCTCTAAACATATTTCTTTCTTTTTGTAATTTAACGTTTCATGGAGAATTATCCACTAAATTTATACAGAAATCTTCATTTTTGGTTGGGTATGCCCACACAGAGACTACTCCCGCACACAGAAAATCTCGTTTTTGGAGGGTGGCGAATTTGACCAACATGTAAATAGCGTGGCAGCATTGTGGGAATAATTTTTATTCCAAAAAGGGACACAAAGTGGTTCGTCTTATGCTGAGTCTTACGTGTTGGGTTGTAGTTAAATTAAATGTTTCCAGCTCCAGACAAGCTGGAAATTGGACCACAAACCTGTACACTGTAAGCAGAGTGAAAAGTTGGTTTGAGATGTAATATAGCATTTGTCAAGTACTGTCATGTCTGTTTTGTGTTATCCTTTTTTTAATGCATCCCTACACCAACTGTTGTGCCTGAGTTAAGCTTTCTTTCTTTTTCTTTGTGGCATTGTAAGCCACATTCCTACAAAAGTCCATCTGAATGTGCTTTGAAGTGACAAAATATCCATTTCTGTGTTTCTGCCATTTGTATTACTGTACATTAATCCAATGGCCATGTCATCTGTGGTTATCTTTATGTATCTCTATGTATTCCTATACTTATACTGTTCTCTGCATTTAGACTTGCGCACCTTACATGTGTCTGTCTTCGTGTCTTAGTAAATCAACCATGTAAACACATATGCTGCCCACAGATAAACAATCGACAAGTCCTATTTATTTTAATCAGAAAGTTGTAAAAAATATTTTTGGTGGAAAAGATCAAAATTAAATTTGTGATAATTTTCTAGGGTCTAAATGTAAAGTCCCCAGGCCATTATTCAGTACCAATCTGTTTATATTTAATGCTGTGTTTTCTGCTAACTTAAATCCCAAATGAACAGAAACACCTATGGAGATATGTGGCCATTCAATCAATAGCTAACTTCAATTTATGTTTGGGGAAAATAAGTGTTCAGCAGATCATACTTCAGAAGGCTGTGAAATTACACTATAATGTTAATCTTACAATCGCAGTAAGCAGGTTTGGCCACCCCTCAGTTCATCTTAGCTGGCACAGTAAGCAAGTTAGGCCACCCCTCAGTTCATCTTAGCTGGCTGTGCTAACATTTAATTTTAGTCATGACAGAAATATCATTTATAAAGTTCATTAGAATCTTTACCCACTTTTTGCACAAAAAATTCAGTTTATCTACATAAATTTTTGTACTTCTTTAAAGACTATGATTCAACAGTTGACGTAATCCACGGCAATGTTTTGTAGTAGAATTGTGAAAAAAAACTGGGAGCTTTATTTTTGTCCAGTTTAAGACTAGTAGAATAATTATGTTAAACATTTTGTGACCATTACATATCAAATGTTATTGATGCAGGTGTTCCAGTGTTTTTTTGTATGTTGTTAATAATCTGTAAATGATTCTGCTCACAGGGCTGTCCATGTAGAAGTGGCAGAGTTTATCACTGTGAAATTGTTACCCACGATTGACCATGTTCAATTTGCAAAACATGCAATGAAGTATTATGTTGATCCTTTAAAGCACAGTGATAACTGTATAAGCCACATACTCCAACATTCAGTGACTGAATTTTTCCCCACAAAGTTTATTTATGGGTTTTGTATGATTTTCAGAATAAATGGTGATTATTTCTTTAACCAGCTGTTCTTTGCAATGGAGACATATTGTGTTTTCTTAGTAGGATTAAAGGTTTTCACAGTGGTCTGAAGATGGTTGTCTTCTTCTGGGTTGTAGCACCATGCAATCTGGTTCTACCAGATTACACAGTACTGCGACGCAGAAGACAGCCATATTTTTGTTTTCTTTGAGGTAGGAACCAAATTTTTAAATATTGCTTTGACAAACTTCTTGCTTCAAAGGATCAAAGCATTGTTTAATGCTACATATTTTTCTGACACAGGCCACTAGTTTAGATATAATTCAATGCCTTATTTCATGGAAACATTTTAGGACATTTCATAAGCATTTGTATAACTAAACAAATGCCTTGTGGGCAAAAACATGTAATATGTACTATATTATTCTAATGCTGTTGACATTGTATTAAACTTAAAATCTTGTTTTCTACAGATAAATACTGAAATGGTACTTTAAAATAGGCCACAACTGTTTTCCCCTTCAATCTACTAGGTAGTATCATTAAAGAACTTACTGTTCGGGTCCCAGCTCAAAAGCCCCGAAGAGATGTGGAGACTTTAATGTGAGTGACAGCAAAGAGAAGGAAATTATGTACTGTGCAGAATGCAAGAACTGACCAAGCTCATCTGTTCTCTGTATGCAAAATCTACATACTAATTCCTTTTAGTATTTGTCAGGCATTACCAAATGGGAATATAATTCACTAAGAACAAATCCTGACCAAGTCATAACACAGGCGGCCAGTAACTGGCTTCTCACCATGGATGCCTTCCTTATAATTTTTTCAGGCTCACTGTGGATAACTTTGCTTCTATTTTGTGTTTTTTCTTCTGAAATAACCATACTGTTTTTTTAAAACATTTTATAGCACATAAGGAACTCACTTCCAGATATAGCAGTGAACTCAAAAAAAAAACTACATGATTGGCATCATTTTCAGGGCCGATAATTATTGTGTACACCAGTAGCTAATTGGCTTTGCCACTTTTCCATTTTTTAGCTCCTCTCCATACATCATCCCGCGGGGCTTCAGAGGCTCAGACCCGAACAGTACTAAACACTATCTAAAGTTCATAAATAATTGTTGCAAGGAGCAGCCCTGACATGCTAGTTTGCTCGCTTGTCACAGTTTGTGTCATCTATGAAGTAAATAATTTGTGCAATGTTTTAATGGTGAAAGATTTGTACCAAAGACTACTACTAAATCAGATGTATGTTGTAATATATGTTATTAGGGACATCTATAATAAGGCAACAGAATTACTGTTTTGTGTTGCAGTTTAATAGCAATGTTTGTTATTTGTGAGCATCTTATTTTTATTCATTCTGTAGTGTGTTATATTTACAAGCAGTTTGTATCATGTAGGTGCAACCAAATTACATGTGCTTATGTTTACCAATAATAATTTTTACTTTAACCCTCTTATTGCCAAATGTAATAATGCTGGAGGCAAGAACTAATTTATCAGTTTTGTAAAAACTAAAAACAGAAGAAAATTCTGTCCACAAGGTAAGAAGGAAACAAGTTTTTAAAATAGAATATTATGCATAGTTGTGCCATATATCAACTCCTATATGAATTACGTGCACATCAGATCAGAACATGGCACACCTAGTGCAACCTGTCTCATCAGCAAAAAGGGGATTAAAGATTAAATTAATATCAGTGGTGTTTAAAAAAGATTTGATCTATTATCCTTGTGAAGAAAATTGTGTTTACTGAACATGTATATTTTTCCATTGAATATGAATGATAAAGGTGTGTCAGACAATTAGTGTAATTATTTAAAGTAATAGAAATAAAATTATGTTCCTACTGGTAGACTGTAGGTCTTTGTTTAAAATTTTACATAGTATCCCTTTGCTGTATAGATGCAACGCTATACAAAAATCACATGCAATTTTAAATATGGCAAATTATTCTCAGGTTATGTAATTATTATTTCTGTTGATTAAATGAACATTTTATTGAAACTATTTTTTTATTCTGATGACATTTTTATATTATCCAAATTTATGTTACATTGGTTTTAGATCAGAAGCTTGGCATCTGTCTTGTTATAATTAAATCCACAGAGCATAGTTCTTAAGAAACTAACAGTCACTCAGCTAGTCAAGGAATCCCCTCCTTTTACGGAACCAAAAGGTTCATTATCGATTGTCAACTGTCAGTCCCTATGCTCAGCAAGTCTGATTGAAAAATTAGAGGATGAAAATTGAGTCTGGTCTGAATTATAATAAGATTAATAAGGGATAAAAAAGAATAATTCTGAGGGTTTTTCTGTTGAACTACTAACACAGAGGAAGCTCGCAGAATATAGTGTGGCACTGCAAATTGAAACAACTATTCAGAGTAACACATTTCCTCTACTTTGCATCATTCCAGACACTGCTAATTTATGTAATGGTTTCCAACCCACTGTTTATTCATAGTCAATTTTTATGTTTTGAAAATGTCACAGCAATGACAAAATTCCATGATTTATTGCATACAAGTGCAATCTTACAATTGACTGATTGGTTGGTTTGTACATTAGCCAACTAATCTTACCAATCTTGTTTACTTCTTACAAAATAGCAGTACTAAGAAAATGGAACAAATGGCAAGAACGTGGTCAAATCTATGTAAAATATAAGGAAACCTTCTTTTATTTTAACATTCAATAAACTTGAACAAGATGTGAGCTGGACTTCAGTAACATTGTAAACAAAGGAACATCCTATAATTTGAAACAGCACAGACCTTACTGAACAAGCTGCAAGAGAATTTAGGGTTAATCTTGTACCAATACAAGTTGCATGTCATCTACAGATTTAAGTAAGCTCAATTCCTTCACCATTATAACCATGATGACAGTCATTCATCAGAGTTGTGGTGCACATGCGCAGAGGGTCATGGATAATGATCTAATGCCCTTCCCAACCCATTAATTTAAACATAAATCACTTTCGTATTGGTCATGACAGGGAATTAAAATGTAAAAAAGAAGTAAAGCTGACCTGCTAAGCTCCATGTAGGCACCTGGGGAGAGGATATACAGCTCCTGCTCATTCTAAACCTCGACACTAGATAACCGGTGAGTAGTTAGCTTCACACCTCGTCCACGCTTTACCCAATGTACGTGCTTGAACTATTCTTCAATGGCATAATGTCCATGCCAAATTTCACTAAAATCTACAAGTCCATTCCCATGGCGTCGTGAAGAGATGTGGGTGGATTCGATTGGGAACGGTTAGGTTAGGCCAGTATGCGAATGCGCAGGGGTCGTGCGTGATAACATCGTCCCACCTCCTGACTTCGAACACCGGTTACGTTGGTAGAACGAAATGTAGGTAATTAGAGAGTTAAATAGGAGCAGCGCACCGTCCATACAAAATTTCATGAAAATCCGTGTAGCTTCTCCTAGCTAATAAATGAATGTAACCGGATATAACGGCGATTCATAAGAAATTAACTGTAAGTTTTAAATACTCTCCAATGGCATAACTAAAAATTCGTCGAGCCTTCCTGTATCAAATGCTGTTGAGAGTTGAGGTTAGGTTCGGTTGGGTTACGTGGTGCATATATAGCTTATATGATGTACCATGAGAGAGATACCACATTGACAAATATGAAGAAAGAAATTCCACATCTGTGGCATATATCGTGGTTTTAATCACAGATGATGTCCGTTTTGATGTTCGGTGGATACATATTAATAGACATGTTATGGTGGGATCTGTAGAACTAGAACTCTGATTTTGTTGTGAATATTGCCTTGAATATTCTGTTTATGATTTTTGCAGAAGTCAGGCACTTTTAAAATGTTGTGGAAGACTTTAGTTTCCAAACCTCTGTCACCGTACGTCTTCCACCGACGTTATTTTAGGTGAGCCTCAATTTTGAGGTTATGCCATGTTGTGATCAAGACATTGGAATTATAATGTACAAAACTTAACATTTTGGGAATAGTATTGGTTTTTGCACTTAATTTAAAACCATATAACCTCGTATTTTTAGGACGAATATAGGAGCTTTCTTTTATTTATTTGCACAATCATTTTAAAAAAATCTTGACATCGAATGCAAATTACTGTACTGTATTATATTACAGTTAACATGTTATATGACTACATTTTGTAGGAACTGAGCAAGTATACAACAAATTACTTTGTTGGACCTTAAATCTGCTTTTAAGTTGTCATTTCAAGGCTATGAATTTCTCATGATTGTGATACATATTGGTAGTGTATTGAGATTTTTATACTTCGTGCATATACCATAGGATGTTTGGTATTGCCAACTATATTGTGTACCTTTGCTGTTTGTGAAAATCTTTAACACATCACAGTGATTTTAGTAATTAATAACTATACTTTGATTTATGTTTGCACACATCTCTACCCACTTTCAGTAAATTTCTCCTTTATATATAGGAATATGTTAATTTAATATTTGGCAAGTGATTTCAGAAAGGAAACTTAGGTTTACAAGATATTGACAGGTCTGTAAGATCACCAAGACTGTCCTGTGTGTCAGTTGCTCTTATATGGGGTTCAGTGATGCTGTTTTGAAGTGATCACAGGTTGAAGAATTTTATGAACAAAATTATGTAGTTAAAAACATTGTTTGTTAAATACCTGTCAGTTATTCACACTGAGCGATTATAATTTATAGATGTAGATAAAAGCAAAATTATTATGTTATTAATAAGTAATTCAGAAATCATATGATAAAATATTTTATTCTTGGTGTTGTAAGGTTAGGTTAATGTTGCATTGGGGTCAGACCAAGTCTCTGTGGCCACTAATGAGCCCATTATCTGTCCCCTAGATGAAACTGAGCGAATATGGGGCAACAGTGGAATGGTATTGACGGGAAAAACCGAAGAACTCGGTGAAAAAGCTGCTTCAGTGCCACTTTGCCCACAACAAGCCCTACTTGGCTTACCCTGGTTGAGAGCTCAGTGACCAACTACCTGAGCTATGGCATGGCCATAGTGTCAAAAGGTACTCTTGCTTCAATGCCCCCTTGCTCTCCACAAATCTCACATGTGTGAGAACCCAGGCCTCCATGCTGAAAAGCAAGTGACCAACTACCTGAGCTATGGCATGGCCATAGTGTCAGAAGGTACTCTTTAGTGATTTACATTCACATATCCAGTTGTAGATTGAGTAAATCAAAGTAGTAAATATGTAATCACAAAACCATGTGGTGTCCCAACCCCAAAGGGCTGAACTTACTCTACCTAAAGTTATTCAGTTGCTTGCGTCTAATTATATACTACAATCCACAGTCGTTCTCTTCTACTTTCAGGTGGCTGTTTGGAGGAAGCAAGGGACTAAATGCATATGCAAATGTTGTAGATGGAATGAAGGAGGTGTACAGAACAAAACTTCTTCCTCTTGAAGAAACATATTTGTTTCATGACTTTCACTCTCCAAAGCTGAATGATGCTGACTTTGATTCAAAACCCATAATTTTGTTCATGGGACAATATTCCACTGGAAAAACAACTTTGATAAAGCATTTGCTGGGATGTGAATTTCCAGGAATGCGAATAGGGCCTGAGCCCACAACCGATCGGTTTATAGCTATAATGCATGATGAAAAGGAAGGAGTAATCCCAGGAAATGCATTAGTAGTAGATCCAAAGAAACAGTTTCGGCCTCTTTCAAAGTTTGGCAACGCTTTTTTGAACAGGTTCCAGTGTTCCACTGTTAATTCTTCTGTTCTTAAGACTATTTCCATAGTTGACACCCCTGGGATCTTATCTGGGGAGAAACAGAGAGTAGATCGTGGATATGATTTCACAGGTGTCTTAGCATGGTTTGCTGAACGCGTTGACCGAATCATTCTTCTGTTTGATGCCCATAAACTTGATATATCTGATGAATTCAGACGGTCAATTGAAGCACTGTATGGGCATGACGACAAAATTCGCATTGTTCTTAATAAAGCTGACATGGTAGATCACCAGCAGCTTATGAGGGTTTATGGAGCTTTAATGTGGTCATTAGGGAAAATTTTAAATACACCAGAAGTTGCAAGAGTGTATATTGGTTCTTTCTGGGATCAGCCATTGCAGAATGACATAAATCGAAGGTAAGCAATTTGTCAGTTTATTGTTGTGTCTCCCCTCTATTGCATTTTGGGCAAAGACACGAAGTAAATGGGTGGTTCGGGATGTTACACAAGAAGGAATGTAATATGGATTGTGGTCTTATGGTTAGATCTCTTACAGAGGAATGGGTTTGGTGAATCTTAGTATTAATGTCTGATGATTCGTGATCCATAACCATGTTATCTCGAGGGTTAACCATGCTAATATTAATATATATTCATTCCTTTAATTATGCTTCATTATGTTTAGGTTATTTGAAGATGAAGAGCAGGATTTATTTCGAGATATACAATCTCTTCCAAAGAACAGTGTATTACGAAAACTGAACGATCTCATTAAAAGAACCCGCTTGGCCAAGGTAATTTTAGGGAATTCCTTTCTGCAATAATAAAGAACTATGACTCCAATTTTATATATGTTCACTATGTCTTGGTAGTATTTTGTGTCGGCATTGCCAATTACCTGGATGAGTTAGAATTGTCAGGTATATGAAATATGTTGACAAATGCTGTGCTTTTGTGACAATGGTGATGGACCCTTTAGCTACCAACACCTCAAGGAATAATGTTTACCCATAGAAAAGTAATGTAACATAAGATGATGAGAAAACATATTTTCATTCCAAGTGAACATTGTCTTTAAACCCTTCTCTTTGTGTTGATTTTGATCTTCTGGGTTCTAATGCTATATGGACTTTTAGGTATATACCGCCATTTTGGAGAAACAAACTGTTTCTGTCTTCAGAGCTGAAGTTTCTTCATAACATTGGTATCTACACATGTCCACATGGCAGTAAATACAACCCAAAATTACAAATATCAACACCTTCACTCCTGTGAGAACATTAATGTTTGTGTTTCAGGCTCATGCATACATTATCAGTTCACTATTCAAGGAGATGCCCGCAATGTTCGGAAAGGATGCAAAGAAAATCGAACTGATTTCAAACCTAGAACAACTGTATTCCCAACTGGAGCGCAAGTTCCTTATCTCTCCAGGAGACTTTCCTGAACTCAAGAGGATGCAGGCAAGTGAAACACATCTCCTACCCTGGGCGAGTGCTTTACACTTTTGTTTGCGATAGTTACGAGTTAGGAGGGTGCCAGACAACTGGAAATAATTTACCTCTGCATTTTCCAACAAACAAACAAATATGAAATTTTCACAATGGTGAAGATGATGACATTCTTCTGAGTTTTGGTGCCTCGTAGCAAATGCTAACATTTTGCTGCATAAATAATGTCTCTTGTCTTGAGGGCTGAAGATGGCACATTTCTGTGCTGCTTCTATTTTTAAATGTATATTAAACATTTGAAATAAGCAGGTTTTAAATTTTTTACATTTTACTACCCCATACCAAACCGAATCATGTTTTAGTCCAGCTTTCATCGTTATTTTGTTGCTTTGGTTCATGAACATTACTTTTTTTTATTACAGGAGCAGCTGATTCATTATGACTTCAGGAGTTTCAGTTCTCTGAAGCCAAACCTGATGGAGGCTGTGGATGAGATGCTGGCTAATGACATTGCCCATCTAATGGCCATGATTCCTCAGGAAGCCTCAACCACTGAATCTCTTGTTGAAGGTCAGGGCAATGGGAAATTTCTTGTGCCTCATAACTTTCATATCATTTGTTCATTTTAGTTTTATGAAGCAGATTTGCTGTATGTATCAACCTTGTCCTGCCATAGATACTTTAATCCCTGAGAGTTTGCAAGTGGAGAAAGAAATAGACTGATTTTGCCATAGGGCAAGTCTGGTCATTTTAAAGGTTTCATCCACTGTGAGCCCATTATATGCAAAGACAACATAAGAAATTCCATACAAATAAGAAATGATTATGTATTTACTTGTTTTATTTGTGATTTCTCTTACATTTTATTCTTCATGAATTGGTAACAGTTTTACACCAAATATTAAAGTAAATGAATGAAGAAATGGGTCACTGTTATGATTTATGAAATAATTTGTTATTAATTCTTAATGTAAATGCTGAAATTGTCACAGACGTTTTTTTATCTTGGATTTAGAAATTTTTATTGATGTTTAATTTTCTGTTTTGAGTGTATTCAGCTTATGACTGGGGTTAGATTCAGTTACTGCATCAGTGACAATGGATACATGACATTTGTCCAGGCGGAGCATTCGAAGTTGTGGGCAGCACGCTCGGACCATTTGGTTACAAACGCGGAGAAGGGGTCGATGCCGGCGCAGGCGATATAGAGTGGATCATCAGCAAGAAGCGTGTGGAGTATGATGCCATCTTCAATACACTGAACCCAGTGGAAGGAAAAGTAATGAGGACAGGTGAGTCCTGCTTTGACCTCATAGTATTCTATTTCTCAAAAACTGATTAGCAGTCATAAGTCTCTAGGGAAAAAAGCAGGATGTTATAAAAATATTTTTTTTTTTGCATGCTAGTCCCATCACTAGATGAGTTACATGTCATAGAAGACCACTGTCTAAGCATTAGTCAGATCAGATCATGCTTATTGGAGTAGAGTTAAACTTACATTTCATGTTAATTCCAGTAGACTGCTGTAAACGAACATGATGCCGGTGCTGATGTATGTCAAAATCATTGAAGCATCTTTTACCCGAGTCTGACAATACGTTGATGTCTACGGTATTTCTAAAATTGTTTCTTGCTCTGTGATTTTGAGCTTTGTACTTGGGCTTGTCTTACAGATGTGAAGGCAGAGATGATCAAGTCGAAGCTGCCAAGCTCGGTGCTCGGGAAGATCTACAAATTGGCAGATGTGGACCAAGACGGATTGCTTGATGCTGATGAATTTGCCCTTATGATGTACCTTATCTCAATCAAATTAGATGGTCATGACCTTCCGTCCAAGTTGCCTCCTCACCTGGTTCCTCCTTTGAAGAGACCAAGGGCGCAGCACATGGCTCCTGTCTCAGAACAGGCGAGTTGAGTCTTGTATGGCATAGGTTTACCCCTGAATGGGCAATCAGGCAGCTCTGAAGAGAGCCTTTGAGCTGTAGTGATCAGCATTTACTAAAGTTCCTCATGGGTTGGCTGGACCATCCCAGCGATACGAGAACAAGTACACATGTGTGTTACACACTGCTGAAACTAATCTGCCAACCTTTGATCCCTCTATATAATTTTTTTTTTTTAAACCTCTAACTCAGTACAGTGACTGGATGATGAGGGTTCAAATCCTGTTTGCCGCCATACCAAGACTGACTCTGTCATCTGCACAGCTTCCTGTTCAGTAGATAATACAATACCATCCCTGCTTCCACAGGTATAAAGTGACGAGAGCCTGAATTTGTCATTCCTTCATTGAACACTGAGGTCTAGAATGTGCAGAGCGCACATCCACCTCTTCTGTATAGTGCTAAGACTCGAAGAAAACCTTTACCTTCACCCCTTTAAATATAACAAAAGAATGTTAAAGTATTGTTTCAATTTAATGATACTGGAAGCTTCCTCTGCCTGTGAAGTGTATCCAACCCATTTTACCTCCTTCATATCAAGTACTTTGTTTATGTAACATAATTATGCTTTGTTAAAGAGTAAATTTTTGTTTAATTTATTTTATTTCTATATCTTCTTCCATTATTTGTAGCTGAGGAGCAGTTATGTGTGTGTAACTCCCTAGGAAAGAGATATCTTTAAATAGATGAGAAAGAAGCAAATAGGTTGGCCCTTTTTCAGGATTTCAAACACAGTATGAGAAGTGACCCTGTACTTGTATTTCCATCAGTTTAAATTACCCAGTGGTGCTCCTGGGTACTGCTTGCTAAAACACAGTTCAGAATTTTATTTTCTCACCTCCTGCCTAAAACGAAAATTTAGAATCTGTTTCGTATAGGCATGAAACTTGGTGTCTGAAGAACACAGATTGAGAATGTTTAAGAATAGGGTACTTACGAGAATAAATGGACCTATGAGGAATGAAATGAAGCACGCAAACAATTTGGATCACAGGACCTTATTAAGCAGATAAGCTAGCATGTGGGAGAAGCCCTGACCATTGTGCCTAAAAGGCGCAAGTGTAGTGTAGTGCAGACCCTCTCCTATTACCCATGGACTCCATGAGATCTGGGACCTTCAAGGAGGCCTTGATTATAGCCAACAACAAATGAGTCAACACAGAGCTTAAATTAAAAAGTTGATTTCTCTCAGCATGGAGTCAGCATTTCTGGCATTCCACTGCAGGAAGCTGACAGTATCAACCAGCCTGAATAAGCTAAGAAGACAAGTACTACATCATGCTATGTAGGATACCATGTTTCATGGGAGGTACAATACTGTAGCAAATTAAGTGAATGGGCATGTACAACAGGTCAATAAATGGTCCCCTTGTGAGCTCACCCCATTTACACACTACTGAGCCAGAAACTGGAGGTTCAAAACTCCTGGTAAGTTAAAATATAGAAAAGCATTTATTCCCTGTGTGCACACATGCCCATGGCTGCATTAACCTAACATAACACTACACAATGTTATCAGTTGCATCAGAATTACACTTTACATTATCCTTTAATTAATTTTACTTGTAAAAAACAATTACCAAATATATTTGTCCACTCTGCTATAGCAAGATACAGATACAACCTTCATGTGCCAAATTCTAACCTAAGTAAATATCAAAAAGGAGTTTACTATACTGGAATAAAGTGATTCAATAATCTTCCACCTATCAAAAGTTTAAACCATGATATAAAAATGTTTAAGACAGCATTAAAAGAGGATCTCCTATCTCACTCCTACTCAGTAGCTCAATAATCTTCCACCTATCAAAAGTTTAAACCATGATATAAAAATGTTTAAGACAGCATTAAAAGAGGATCTCCTATCTCACTCCTACTCAGTAGCAGAATTTATAAACACATGTAACAATGGTGATGGTTTCTCATCATAATTATTTTGCTATAATACTGTAGTTCCAAAAATCTGTAAATAGCTGTATAACTATGTATTTATATTTGTGCTATGACCTGTTCTACATCCTTGGCTTAGGCCTATGAAGGATCTATGGAATGTATATAAATTCTATTCTACTGATATACAGTTCCTACTATGCATCAATTCTTCCTGTCGACTCCTCATCTCCACCTACTACAGATATAGCAAAAAAATATGTTTCCACTTTTTAATTTTCAATAAGAATAAATTAATTACTAGAAAGTTCTTTAAAATTTTACCACGTGTACTCACAAAACTGATCCTCCCACACCCACAGAAAATAACACAATATAGCCAATAGTTCTACTCTTCGATCGCTGCCTCACCAAGTATTCACATTATGGCAAAATCGATTCCGTATGTATGAGAAAATTTATGTTCAAATTAGTCGATTGTGAATGTATGACAAACATGATGTTCAAAACAGCAACTTGTAACGTCCATACCTCCTCAATACTGATAATAACTGGATACAAGGTCGAAATTTCAAAATGGCGTTACTTGTCATGGCGAAAAATAGCCCAAGAACAATAGTTCCCAAATCGTAGCGAGATGGCAGCACTATTCAATAATTTACATATTCGATTTATGGTAATATCGATTAGGTGTATGAGAAATATAATATTCAAGACAATCGATTCTGACTGTATGAGAAATATGATGTTCAAGATTGTTTAATTTTTAGTGCATACCTCCTCGACATTGATAATAACTGGATACAAGCCAAAATTCAAAATGGCGTCTTATACATTGGCAAAACAACGTAGCAGAACACACGATGGTTTTTATACCAACGGCGAGATGGCAGCACTAGAGTTGTTTATTTTAATTTGTATTACTAACGATTGACAGTTGATTTATTGATAAAGTTTTATTCTATACATTTAACCGATAAAGTGAGGTATATATTACTGGTATTAATAAAAACTCAAGTTCCAAAATATTGCAACTACATCAATGGCTGGGGTACAGAAGTGTCAACAATAATATTATTTTGACTAAATGCTCTACAAACTATTAAGAGAGTTAAATAATGGGATAAGAGAATATTTCTGAAAGGAAAACAGCAAAGGATGAGGAATAATATTAAAAAATAGAGTACAAATTATAAAGTTTTTATTTTGTTATCTTTTGTTACTTCATCTGAGATGTTAGTTATTACATACATTAAAGCATTAAAGATCACTGATTTAATTAGAGGTAACACCTCACAACTTTCACACTACCACTCTCAACTTGTCCAACACCTGCTGACAACGATCACAGGGTTCATCAACACTGTGCGCTGTGAAGCGGCGACACCTGCCACAAATCTGCTGCAAGGTCTCTCTCAGCTCCACATGAAATTTAAGTGGACTCCTCTTCTCTACCAGCATAACTGACGAGACCTGCAGAATTTCCGTCAGCTGGCTCCAACAGCTGTGCTCTTCCTCCTGCAGCATCTATATAAAAAGAACGAAGTCAGAAACACCATCTGTTCAGGATTCCATACGTTGCTGTCTGTACTTTGGACCAAGATCTGATGTACTATGGGGACCTTACTCCAAGCTTCTCATATTTTTGACAGAATTAACATTTTATTTATTATTATTCATTTGGCATTTTGACAGCCAGAAAATGTTTGCAGACTTTTAGATACATCACTCGGAATTATTAAGTGTCAGAAAATATTAGTCAATTTATATAAAACAAAATATTTGCTATTTTTATATACAGAGCAAAACTATGGATATACTCCAACATGTGCGAGATTTCAGATTTTGATGCACTAGAGTAAGTTGCTTTACACTGCATATCATTAGCATTAAACCCTTAGGGAAACGTAAAGAAAAACATGGCGCATCAGGGTGCCTATTAAACCCTTAGGGAAATGGAAAGAAAAACATGGCGCATCAGGGTGCCCCCAAATAACAAATTCCACATCAAGTTTTCATGGTTTTGAATGTTATTAAAAGACACACAGACCTTACATAGTAAGGTGAGTACATTAAGATTAAAGCAGCTTTTAAACATGACTTGGTGGTAAGCATTATCATACCTTTAATAAAGTAAGAGTCTCTCCAGACGAGAATACAGTTGCTGCCAACTGTTGAGTGTTGGTGACAGGAGACAATTTGTTCAGTGTCCGCTTCACCTCTAGAGCCAGGTTCACAACCCTCGCCACCTCAGGTTGGTGCCATTCAGGTAATGGTTTTGACACTCCAGACTGGAAGAGGCGAACACCTGTAACAATGCCACCACAAAGACGCAACTAGAGCACACACCGAGACTAATTGACCGACCGACTGACTGACTGACCAACAGATCAGTTACATAGTACAGTATTCCTTAAATAAAGGATACTGTTGCAGATGGTAAAGAGAAACGGAGATTGACATCATGTTTAAAAAACAAAATAATTGGACCTTATCTAAGCCAATTCACGTTACAACCAATTTCTCAGCATCCACTTTAATATAATCATCTCAGCTGTACTTCCATCTCCTAGTTTACCCTTTTTTACAGATACAGAGATTTCAGAAAAAGAGTCCTTGTTTGAACAAACATGGATACTTTGTAGTTTATACTCCTGAAATGGATTGTCTACTGGATATAAATTAACACATTGGTCTTAATCTGCCAAGACTTTGGGATTTTCTCCACTAATTCGTGACCAGACCAGCTCTGAGGCCCACCAAGCTTCTTTTCCTATGGGTACCAGGGACCCTTTCCCCAGGGATAAAATGTGGCTGAGGCTAAGAATGAGCTCCCATCTTCCCAAAACACCCCCTTGGCATCTAGCAGACAGCTTAACTTTCACTCGTCAGATACTTACCTTTCTTATAGGGATGGCACAAGTACACTTCCTCTGCAAGATGTGGCAACACAGGTGCAACTGATCGAGTTAAAACTTCTAGGATGCGACTCATCACCAACTGACAAGCCCTTCTCTCCGAGGCATCTACTGGTGCACAGTACAACCTGATGAACACAAACAATTAAACGCTGTCATATTTTCCCTTTTGGCCCGAGGATGTCAAATCCTGAAATATGAAGTGAGCAATGTGCAAGGTCTAACATCACATCACTCACCTATCCTTTGTCAGATGGCAATAAAGTGCAGACACCTCATTTGTAACGAAGTTGGTAAGCGTGGTGCAGACACGATTGAACTGATAGCTTTCATACAGTTGGTTCACCTGGTGACAGACAATTATTTTCTTTCTATTATTTCTAACAAGAGAGAAACAAAGAATGACTATACATGCTTAGAAATATTGTACATTAATTAAAAAATACAAGTTTGTGTAATAACCAGCTTCAAAATAATGAACTTTTTAAGGTGAATAACATAAAATATTTTTCAGCAACAACTTTAACGTCAATCACAATAGCTGGTCTAACGGCCGAGATGTGAATCCAGGACCTCTTGGACAAGAGAAGTAAGAACAATCTGACTGTAACACTCAGTGAGCTCAATGTGATCTCGGAGCTGACTGTGATAACTGCGAAAAGTTAGGAGGAGTATGAACCATCTTACTGTAACACTCAGTGAGCTCAGTGTGATCTTGGAGCTGACTGTGATAACTGCGAAAAGTTTGAGACTCCGTTACGAAGTGAGTTTGAACTTGGGACAGTCATTTAGCAGTAGGGAAAACATATCAAACATGTGTGCGAAGAAAAGTACACTACATCAGAAAGTAAATAGTTTGTACATTCTATTTACAGTAATAAATTTTTTACACAAAGGAAACCTACTTCCAGAATAAACCTAGAATGTCAATCCTATAACACAATTAAACATATTGAGAGTAACCCATAAGATTCTCACTTGCTGATCTGTGTCATACAGCAGGTGCAGCAGATAGCGATCCAGAAAATACAAGCTCTCGTCAACATCAGACGGGAAGTCATGAAGTGCTCCCAGCAAGAAGCGCACAACAATTCGTATCTTGTGGACAGCCTCAGCACTGGCCTCCAACACAGTGCGACTCACAGGTACACTGGAGTGCTGCGTAGCGTGACACGCCACCCACCACCTGCACGATAACAAAATTTAGTCTCACAGGCAAATCTTCGGTGCTGTCAGTGTGTACGGATGACTCTACATGATGAAACAGAAGGGATGTGGAAGGAGGTCATCATGACCCAGTTCAAGATACTGTTCCAGGAACAGCCTACAGAGACTGAGGAAAACCACAGACATCAGTCAGGACAGCAAATTTCCAAGCTGAGATTTGAACCAGGTCACCCACATACGAAGCAGGAATATTAATGATGTAACATTTAGTAAATGAAAGTCTGATGTTAAGAAAAAGACTCTTCTCGGAAAAACACTTTTGTAAGTTTATCCATTGAAAATCTCCAAGAATTGCTTCTTTATCAGCTGGCAACATTATTTATATGAATAGTATAAATTGTTTAAGGAAGACTATGCCTCAGGAATGACAATCCCATGGAAGTTAAATCATACCCAAGAAAAGGAAGATGGCTGTCTTCTAGGTTGTAGCGCCATGTAGTGTGGTAGTCACCAGGGTGATGAGACCTGATAATGGAGGCAACAAGGGCCTCTGAAACGTTGGTAAACTTCCACTAGACTACACAGTGCTACAACCCAGGAGACGGCCAACTTCAGACTCACCGCCATGAAAACCTCAAACCCTACATACCTAAGAGTGTCGATGCCATAAGCAGGTCCGTGCTTCTTGTCTTTCCGTCCATGGGTAATATCCAGAGGGTCCACCACATTTCCTAGGGACTTTGACATTTTGCGACCTTCTGCATCAACAGCAAAGCCGTGAACAAAAATTGCTCTAAAGAAACAAGAGAATAATTTCATCAAAATGCAGTCAAGCAGTTTGCTTCAAATATTTATAGTGTATATTTGCTACTGGCTTCCACTATGGAAAATGGAAGATCATATTTCTAAAGCCATGGCCATCTGTCTTAATCTGGTACAACAACTGATGTTTTCCATAGCTCCGACAGAGCAAGATAATTAAATCATTAAAATCAATTAAAAAAGAACATGTACAGTTACTGCACTGACTTTCAATGGGTCATCAGTATTAGTAATGAGAGCAGAAGGAATGGAAGTTTCAAAACATACGCTTTTCACGCTAATAACTCGACAGAGTATACAGGTCAGAAAGTATTTAAGAAAGATTATTTTAATATCAATCCACCTCCCTGTAATTTCACACATACTTGTAAGGGGCGTGACCTCGAAGTGCCACAGAAGTCATAAGAGATGACTGAAACCACCCAGTGAACTGGTCAAGACCCTCTAGGTAAAGGTCGGCAACCTTCTCCCCACTCAAAACATATGACCATGAGAAACCACTATCAAACCAGACGTCCAGGATATCCTGACGACAAACAACACAACAACATGTGTATTAATAATGTGACCTCACACACCACAGTTAAAGTCAAGAAACAAGTCCCTAATACAATAAAATATTTGTGAATGGTTGCCCCAACATACTTGCCCCTTTTCCACCTCATCTAGTGCAACACCATGCTCCGCCAGCACTGCCTGTGGCACGAGTCTGTCCAGAGGAAGAGTCCACCAGAAATCTCTACCATGCTCATTCACCAAATTACACAGATGATTAATTAAGGACCTAAAGAAATATATAATTATGATATGAATCCTGAACATGGACTAAGGGACAATCTTTTGCTCAACATAAAAATGCTAACAATCTCACATGATGAGCACAAATTATGAAGAAGAAAAAAACATCAATGAACTAAACATCCTTTAACTCAGAAGAAAGAATAAAAACTCACATACTGAGCAGAGGTGTACCAGAAATTTTGTGGTACAGCACTGGTATTGGGACTCCCCACACCCTCTGGCGAGAGATGCACCAGTACGGCCGTCGTTCCAGTTGTGACACCAGTCCGCCTCCACTCTTTGTACTGCTACCATCTTCAGGAAAAATCTTAACTGTCTTCAGAGCTTCCTGAAATGTTACTATTACTGATCATTTAAGTCAAATTATATGTAAAATGTCCCTGATTTAAATAAGAGTGGTAAGAGTACTCAAATCTGGAGCATATATTTTTTCCAAGCACATTCTTTATGATTTTGTGCACCTCATCAAACTTTGCGTTCATCTATTTAAGCATAAAATTCATAACAAGGTAAAATACATTATGGGAAAGTGTTTTTAGTAATAACATTAATTATCATTTAAAATAAAATGCCTAAATGTTACTGAATCAGTTCAACTTACGATGGCCTTCTGTTTGACAGCATTGGTGTCAATAAACCACTGGCAGCTGGCACGCAGAATGACAGGTTGCTTGGTGCGCCAATCATATGGGTAGCTGTGTACCAACTGTTCTGAGTGAAGAATATCTGCAGACAAGAGATCCATCACTGCTTGGCTGCCTTCAGATAAGACAGGCAGTCCCCGAAGAACAGGTCCCGCTGCTTCTGTGTAGCAGCCATCTTCATCCACGAGACATTCCTGCACAGGCCATTACACCTTACTATTCGAGCATCTGATTGCTGGAGAGACTGTGGAAATTGATGAACATTCTTACTAAAGATAACCGGTTTCCAAAACAACTTATTTATTTATTTATTTGTGGTTTACTTAATGAAGCTGAACTACACAGTGTTCAAAAGATGACTAATGAATAAGGATATGGAAGAAAGTGGTTGTGGCCTAATTTAAGATATTTACCTCGTGGGTGGGACTGAGAAAACCACAAAAAAACTAAGTCACATAGCTGGTTACCAGGCCATGTTTGAACTTGGGGCCTCCCAAATACAAAGCTGGAGTGTTAACCACCTAATCTCTATATTCGATGAAAATGAGAACTTAACACATGAGATCCTGAATGTAAAGCAGGTATACTGTCACCAAACAGTGATGTCAGGTTTGGTTTAGGCAGCTGAAGACCAGGTACATCTTAGACTATGTGACCATCAGATCAGCAATCGCATAAACAGATCTTAAAATTCATCTCTGACCTGTAGATATGCTTACAATACTAATGGAATGCTTAAGAGCCACCAGGAAATCTTCAGGCCCATGAGCTGGGGCACTGTGCACCAATCCAGTTCCCTTTCCAGCCGTGACGTGTGCAGCCGGGAGAAACGGCTGGACCCGTTCTGATCTGCACGGATGAACGTAGCTGGCACCTGCCAGGATACCGCCTGCAATCACACAGATCACAACTGAAACACAACAAACTTTATATAAATGCCGAACCGATTCGTTTGGACTGTTGGCAATACTGCACCATGATATGGTTATGCCATTACTGGGTTTAGGACTCGCTGATTTCAGGCATCTAAACTTTATGGAAAAGTAAGAACTTGTTTTTAATGTTTCACTTTTATTATTTTCTGTATTCAGTCCCATGTGTCAATGCAAATCTGAATTAACGCTTGTTTCAATTCAATTTGTAGTAAAAACTGTTAACATGCACGGGACTAATGTCACCCCTCCCAACTAAACTCTTTCTTTTGCCCAAACAGAGTATACATCTAACTAATAAATTTTAAACTTCATACTAGTTCCTCAGTTCTTCGCATTGCACACTTCTTTCAACTCCCACTTTAATCTGTCAGTTTATTAGCAATTATTTCTCTACTACATGCATTACATAGCATAGAACTGGCTGATGATTGCAAAATGAATTCAGAAAGACAGCAATCCTTTTATGCTTAATATCTGAAGTTACTACACCATAATTTAGGCAGAAAGATCGAGGTAAATGACAAACCTGTCAGGCCAGTCAACCTCTGGGCCGAAACACAAAGTTACTTTGAGTTTCACAGGCAGAATGTTCAAACCTGCTATACCTGGGAAAGTAGTAATGACATCAATTTGTCGGCAAAGCTTCTGTCGCAACATTTCCACCAGTTCCGAAGCGATAATATACACTTCTCCACTGTGACCAGCAATAGACACGAGGCTGTATGACAGGTCAGGGTTGAAACAGACAGCCTGGTTGACAGGGAGAGTCCATGGAGTAGTGGTCCAAATCAAAGCAAACACTGGCAGTCCGTGCTGCGGGATGAGAGAACGGATGGGATCAGGAACTTTTCGCATGAGGAGTCGGACTGTCACGGCAGTGCTGCGGTGGGTTGGGTTGTACTCCAGCTCGGCCTCGGCAAGGGCCGTCCTGTAGACACAGACTACAATAACAAGACGTTCGTTTGCTTCCAGAAATTATCTGTTACTAATTCCAGCAGTATTCAGGTGAAGATTTGACGATCACAAGTGAGAACCAAAAAGACAGGGCGAATATTCTTGACATGAATGTCAATAACGTAATTCCTTTTCTGTTCTCAGAATAAGTCTTATTCTTACACAGAGAAAGGCTGTTATAAAAGTTTAAAATATATTTTTGTGTAAAACTTAATATAACATAGGATAGACAGTTTAGAACTCTTGTTGAAAATAAATAAAGCAGAAACTTACACACATACACATGAGTGTGTCTCCCTTTCTGTACAAAGATGTGTATGCGTGTACATGTGAACATGTAGACAAGCACTCATAAGCATGCACACTCAGTAGGTACGGAGTTCGGAAAAGAAAACTTAAAGATAAAATACAAAAATTACATAAAAACAACAACAAAACAAACAAAGAGTCTTGAAACTCCATAAACAGTAACATTTTTGGATTAAATGGATTTGACAACAACAAAAATCATTATGTATGTATGTACACAGAAAGCTCAACAGGACATGAAAAAATTTAGTAATCTGAAACCGCCATTAACTCAGTTCCCATCAGTGAGAACACTACAAATGATCTGATTTGTTACACAGCAGCCCCTGAGGATGAGAGCAGAGATTCTTCTCGAAACTTTGGCAGAAGATATAGTTTATTCAGCATTCAGCCACCTGTCGTGGCTTGTAACCCGAGAGTCTTTCATCAACTTCAGTCACAGCAAAAGCTTTACTATAAACAGCTCAGTATTAATTTTATTAACATTAATAGAGAAGACATTAACAGGGATAGATACCATTCACTGTAGTACAAATTACATTACACATTTTTATTAGTATTTTATTATCATTTATTACCTTGAAGATGGTGACCAGAACACAGGCTTTACATCTCGAAAAACTAAGCCCTGAAGAAAAGAAGAGATTAGCAATTAGTAGGGGGTTCACACCGCATATGTAATAAGTATGAAAGCATATTAATCAGGAACGAAGCTACACATACCATTTCATACAGTGCATAAAACTGCTGCCACAGGTTCTTCACATAATCTTTATCAAACGTGAAATAACATTTGTCCCAGTCAGCCATGACACCCCATGAACGGAATGCTTCTTCCTGGCCACCGATAGCTTCTCTAGCAAACTGCTCGGCTAAGTAACAATAAGTCACAACTTATTTCAGTATGATGTTTTATAAGGTTAAAAAGAGGCAGACAGGAGGAAAGGTTACCAAAGAAGACTATGAAATGGCAACCAAAAGAGAGAAGGAAGAGAGGGAGACTGAGACCAGGATGGAACAACAGAATTATAAGAACCATGATAGAGTGGAAACTACCTCTGGAAGGATGGGAAAATAGAGAAGAATGGAAGAAAATATTAGGCACTGGAAGACCGAAGTGATGGTCAAGAAATGGAAGAAGAACAAAGACCTGCTAAAGGCTCAAAATGTTGAAAAGACACTCAAGTATATGTCAATGGCCTAGGACTAAAGAGCTAGATTTTTGTGACAACCATTTCAGACCAGCTGGTTACAGTGCAGAATTTCAATATGCCTTTCCTTTCCTATACCCATGACAAACATATATAATTTGTGGGGAAAATCAGGCCCCATCATGGCTCAGTTCCCATGTGCCAGCCATCACACAGGTTTCACCACCTCAAAGAAGAACTCTTACAGCACTGTCAAGACAGACAACGTGTTGAATAAACCTTAACTAGAGGCATAAGACATAAGACGTGAGCACGTAAGTTATTCATATTTGACCCAGAATATTGATTACAACATATGCATAAACTGTCTTAACTGTTTCTTATCTAACAGTCTTCTTGGGTTACTTTCCCCCTCCCCCTAGTTTCATCCCTGCAGGAAGAAGCTTTAATGACAGGTTCACAGCAATGGAAACAGAGAAACAATGAAAATTCTGGGTCAAATATGAACCAATCTCACAGATAGTTGAGAAAATGACAGTTAATTGGCTGGTCGAGAAATTCCTCCATTCCGTCAATCTCAAATTGTTCACTATGAACACACATTTCTCTTTCCACAATGCAGATATTTTTTAACACTTTTGCACTATGAAAGAAAAGTAATGGAACAGAAGAGCCAACAAAGTATACTTCCTTGTACCAGCACTAATATTCTTCTACATGAAAATTACTTAAAATCTACATTACTAACACAAACCTTTCTTCCGAATGGTGACTGGTGACAAATTGGTTTGCCCACCCAAAGCTTTAAGTTCAATAGGGAGGCCATGACAGTCCCATCCAGGGACATAATGGATCTGACAGCCTTGAAGCAATTTGTGGCGAGTGATAATATCTTTCAAGATCTGTAGCAAAGATTCAGCAAGTCACATTTCACATAACAGAAATATATCCCACTAAAATTATTCGAGCACAAGACAACTGCCAAATGTTCATGTAAACAGAGTTATAAAACAACTCAGGTCATACTGAAAAATCATTTAGCAAACTCAATTATAGTAGAGAGATCATCGTACAGCACGAGCATAGAAGATGGTGAAAGAAAGCATTAATTACATAGCCAGAAGATGATGATATAATACTTTAAGGCTGCTGTAGGCATTAAATTACATATTCCATTAAGACAAAGAAGGAGAAGAATATGTTAATGTGGATTAATAAAATACTCTGATCTGAGGAATTCAAAGTTATTATTAATCATTCAATGTCATTACTTGCCCTTACACAATATCCACCCAGACAGTTGAGTAAAAGATAGAATTCATCCTCAAAATCAATCTTAAAGGATTAATTAAAATTATTTTGAAATATCACTCTTGCCTGTTACACTGATAATAATAAATTCTACAGTAAATGAGGAAGTAAACAAATAATATCAACAAAGAACTGGCCTTATTTATTGCATGGCCCATGTGAGGTTTTCCATTGGCAAAGGGTGGGCCATCATGCAGAATGAATTCTGGCCCTTTGACATGTTTCCTCTGCCAAGTATATAAAGTAGAAAATTCACATTTCTGAAAAGAAAGCACTGAAACTGTGTCAAGGTGCCACACTCAAAAGGGAATGAACAAGAAATAATAAACAGGAAACAAACATTTTAAAATGGCAAAATATGCTTCAGTTAAAAACATTAAACAAAAAATTTAAAAACCATGTTTTCTTCATAAAGCCACCTTACATGGCTGGTAGCCCAAGAAAAATTTATCATACCAGCTAGTACTTCAGGGGAATAATTTCGTTTTTAAGGCGTTGCATCTGTATGAATTTCTCGAACATACTACAGAATAACTTTACTAATATAACATAATTAAATTAAGTCAAATTAAGGTAACACAGCCTTCTGACTATGATGCGACGCTAGAAAACGTGACAGAATGGGAGATATACATCTATTCATCCGTTTACTTGTTAACTCCTAACCTCTGTTCGTATTATTTGAATCCAATCTACAAGGAACTAGAGCCTAATGACAAGTCAAACGATTTGAAAAGTGAGTTGGCAGCAAGTTTAATTTATCCTCGGATGCCACAATAAAACTTTTAAAGAACCTCGTATAAATAAATATCTCGATCTATTCTCTTCTGCGAATCCAAACGTAAAGGAAAATCAGTCCGTGGTAGAGCTACTGTATTTGTATATTTCTTATGCTTTCTTTCAGGCCTTCCTTGGGCACAGTATGATGAACTACAGGAAGTATAAATTGTTCTTGAACTTCGGTAATATCCTTTCACAAGCCGAACATGAAATTCAAATTCGCACCACCTTAGACGCACTGCCATCTTTTACCATTCAGGGCTCCTGACAATTGAAAATGTAATTAGAAAGTAAATAGACCCAAGGTATAATTATTTACAGCCAATCATATTGCAAGATATTTGCGTTGAATCCATCTACCAACTTAATCAGCATGAAACTACATTTGCATCAGGGTATTTAAAAAGTAAATTTGTCATTCTAAGACACCTACACCAATAATTATAACTGAATAAATTACGTGCATCAAATGCGAAACGAAGTGTTGCAACATGGTCATTATAATGTACGTAATTTGTGGTCATTACGATTTTGGAAACAATTACCCAACTCTGAAATTTACCTTTCTTGATAATCCAATGTAAAATTGATGGTGCCATAGGATTAATTTAACTACGGTTAACTTATAGGTTATGTTATTTGCGTTTTTTTAAACCAGTGTCATAAAAGTCTGCATAAAATTATTGATTTCCAAACGTATCAACCCAATATTTAAAAACCGCTGTCCCTATTTTGATTCGGATACATATCATTAGTAGCAAATATATAATATACTTACATTTATTGCTGTGATTTCACTACTATGATCAACTGATTAATATTGTTTATAAGAAGAATCACATGAAATCCAAAAATATAAAATGCAGAGTTACTGTTTGTTACAGCAGCTGGTACATATAGTTACCACTTAGCTTTAAAGGGTTAAAAATACTTGTTTGGGAAGTAGTATATGAAATTAAGGGACAACAAATGTGATCAACATACAACCCACATAATGTATAAGCATCTCAGAAGGAGAAAGGAGCAATCGAATGACTGTAGAGGCAGTGACTGCAATTTTAATTCCTGTTCCTCCACAAGAGGGTGAGGGAGGGAAACAAAATAAAAACAGAGCCACTTAGAAAAGGAAAGAATCTTAGCAGGTACACAGTCAGGAATTACAATAGGGATGAGAGATGTGACTTCAAAATGACTTACTACATCAACAACACTGGATATTACCAAAAACTCCTGCTCCAGTAAGAATGTGCAGTGGAATGCCACATAGCCCTGTTCCTCAGTAAGGAGGCCATCAAAAGGTTCCAACACACATCACTGTGAAGAGCTGCACTCTGTTTTTGCCATGCTATTCTGATATTGTGTGTTCCTGTGAAAAAAATATTCACCACAGTAGGCAATGGTAATTCTCACGTCAGTTACACATTACCAATACTTCAAGTAGAAACAAATGTGTTTTCTGTTTATAATCCACCATCCTGTACTGTAATATCACTCTGAATTAAACTTATACTAAAAGTTTGTCTGGCTGTGTCTTATGTCTGCTATGTGAAAAATCATGAACATGTTTGATACAATGAAGCCAACTACAGTAAGAAAGCAGCATAAATCACAGGACAACTTTATGTAAATTCTTCAATTCCCCGTTGTGTACTTGAGGAAAATATTTGAACCTAAGAAAGGAACTGACAGGAGAAAACAGCATGCAGAATTTCATGACTGGAAATGAAGTAACCACATCAGCATGCAGTCTATTCTGATGCCAATTTAATAGGCAAAAGAATAAATACCATAAACAGAGACACAGAATCCATATTAGTGATTACTAACTATACTGGTCTAGAAGTAAACACATAAAATTAAATATGTGGAACAAAATTATTACACTAGCACAGCTTACCAGTCATTTGAAAATGTGGCAAACTCAAATATTCAAAAATGACAGTAATAAATCATACTGCAATCAAAGACAAGAGCAAATTAAACTGAGAAAATTTTTGATACATGAAATTTTCTTCCCATCTGCTACCTAAAAATGTAAATATATGAAACCATAAATTTGTCTCTGTATGGGTGTATGGATGTGAAACTTGGTCTCTCAATTACGGGAAGAACACACATTGAGGGAGTTTCAGAACAGGACAGAGGGTACTTCCAGTTCATGCCAGCAACTGTCTATTTTGGGTTAAAAAAGCAAAAGTTTAAAAAACATTAATTCATAGCAATTTATTTTATTGATAACAATACTAATTTAGTGTCCTGCAAACTTACATACATTCATATGCACTGTTCCAGAGTTATTCCTCTCACCAGAAAATTTCAGTTCACCATCATAAATCTTACAAAGCAATAAAAAAGTGGCTAATCTTCACAGCAGCAGTTAGTTACATACACCTTCAAGGTTCCAATGTTATAACACAAAACCAGAACAGACTAATGATATTTGTATGATCTGAACAAGTAAAAGTATAGATGGCAACAACAAAAACACAAAATTAGAACATTTCCCTTTCCACAGTATAAATTTAAAAAGTTTGAAATATTTTAAAATATTGGCTAAGCTTATACATCACTGTCATGCTATATCTAAACCTATCATGTCATGAAAATCTGTTGTTAGTATATACAACTTACTATTTACATTTGCTTCTCAAGAATAATTTAGAATAAATGCTTTAACAATAACTGCATAACATGATACAGTTAGGAGACATAAATGACCACTGATATTTCACGGCCAAGTTACTTCATCACCAACAGTGTAGCAACCATAAATTTACACAATTCAAAATTTGTGTAAGGACCATAATTTCTTTTTCATGTAACATGCAGTTGCTTTGAAACTTCCAAGTTACCTAAAATCAACTTCTAATACCAAATAGTACTTATCACTTTCATTATTTTGAAATCTAATCATGTAACTGAAACACAAATCAGACCACAAACCAAATGTAATATTAATTATGTCATTGCTAAGCAGCCTCATATTTAGATCACAATTGTCAAAGACCTTGGGAGAGGATAAATGCAGATTGTCATTTGTTACAGAATGCTTCATACACATTTGCTCCCAGGAGTTTAAGTTTGTCATCAAGTATCAGTTGCTGAATCCATGGATCAGGACCAGCTCCATGCCCTGTATGATGCTGGACTAATCCATTTACAATGGGTATCAGTTTGGCCATAGGCATTGCCACATTATTAGGATGGATAAAGTTGGTAAGACCATTGCTACATTCTAAACCACTGTTTGACATCTGGGTCTTGTTTTGCAGGCCTGATGGTCCAGCATTCATGTTTAGAGCTGTTCTGTCTGCTGCTGGTCCATAATAATCAGAGATTCGATCAACCATCAATGAGAATCCTTGGCTCACACATGATGATGTCAATGATATAATTTCATCACTCTCCAGCAGATCAGTTGTCTCTGAGACCATTTTCTGCAGAGTGTCACAGTCGGCTGCAGCAAGACGGTCTGGTGGCAGGAAGTATTGGTTAAGACATTTGATAGGGTCGCTGATGTCTCCAGTTACAGCTGCCTGTATGGCCCAGAACAGCTGCTCAGTGTCCTGGAGATTCAATTTCTGTTTCAATGATGTTCCCTCCACTATGAGGCGAACCTTCTCTTCTACAAGAGCACACAACTCACGTATGCCATCATTAACAAAATGGTGGCAGAATGACAAATAATTGTGTTGCAATTCACTGCTGATGTGTAGAGCCCTTGTCCCATGGCCTTCTGCCTCGCTAGTTGAGTCCTGATACATGTAACCACCAATAAGATTGAGCTGGATGCGCAGTGTAACCACCAACATGGCTTCAGCATACACCAGCACAGATGCACGTGTAAAGGCCAGGATCTTCAGCTCTTCCCATAGCGACACTTTATCAGTCGGACTACTTCGCAGTCTGATCACCAAGTCCTCAGTATCTAAGAATTTAATTACTGCCTCCCTAACAGTTGGTGTCAGGGAAAGTATCGTTTGGTTACAAGTTCGTTCTGTACTTTCAAAGTGATGCCGCCGACGTGTCTGTTCAAGGAATTCTTTTGTTTCTCTTTCTTGCCATTCACGAAGTTTCTTTTGTGCATACTGAGATGCTAAAACTGCACCTCCAATTAAAATTCCACCTATAACAAATTTCCGTTTGTGACGGTACAGGAAACCTCGAATTCTTGTAAACATTGCTGTTACGATATTGGCACCATTGTCGGTTGCTTTGACAACTTTACAAATTATTTACTCACGAAACACCTATTACTTATACAAGTTATAACCTATGCTGGGCTGTCTATTTAGTTTATTCAAATGATACATCTGACGACACTGCTGCAAAATGATGAGTTTTCTCTAACCGATTAACAATGAAATTGGTTGTGTCAATGAATCGTTCTACACAATTACTTAGGCAATTCTCAGTTCTATTATCGAGTCTCGAGGATGGTTTATCAACACACAGCTCCCAACATGTGTCTGTCAAACCATGGACAAGAAACTGGAAAAAAATACCACATTGCTTAGAATGCCATCAGGTTTGCAGTTTTTGCAAAACATTAATTGTAAAAGCGTAAATCAAATTAATGTTATGCCTTAATTGAGTAATCCTTCATACCTGAAACCTTTGCTTTTGAGTTTCAGCTTCAATGAAATTCTGAAGCTGTGGGTCAACTGAAGCAGCTGAACTCTTGTCTAAACTCATACTTTGTTGAAAATACCGTAATTTGCAAGTCACTCGCTAAACATTAAATATTATACGTGCAAACACACTGCAGCTTAGTCAGCAAGAGCAAGTAATCACAGATCATCAACGCGGTTGTTTGCCAACCTGCTGCAAAGATTATCAACAAGAAGAAAATTCCCACAGTGGAAATTTTTTTATTTTCTAGTGAAGGACTGGATACAACACGGGTGTGATTATATTCTTATCGTAAATGTTTTTTAAGATACGTTAAAATGCATACATACACATTCCATTTTCACAAAGTTCTACAAAAATTGTTTCAGGTTCATAGGTTAGGTTTTATAGTTGTTGGCTAAACTGGGATACGTGGGGTGTATTTGTCGCTTTTGTTTATAAATGTCTGGATAAAAATGTCTGAGTTTTGTAAATATTCAATTATTTAGAAATAAGCACCCATAAATTAACAATACGACCGTGAATAATGTGCATTGTACATAATGTGCAGAAAAGGTGTCGTCTGTGTTTGTCAGATAGTGGCGAAAATTTGTCAATATTTGATCAACAGTTTTGTGAAGGAATTCCCTTGTCACTGAAAATTATGGTTTGTGTATCTCTAACGGTAAGTGCAGTTCAGTACAGTTTACATATTAAGTACGTGTACCTGATTTAGGCAAATTTGTTGTTGCATGGTCATACAGTATAACATCTTTGCAGGTGACACCTGAAGATTTTCTGCCTAAACTTATCTGTGCTCATTGTATGAATTTGGTCAGTCGATTTTACGAGTTCAGAGAGACGTGTATGAACACACACATGACATTGATGCAGTGCACAGCCAGTAAGGACAATTCACAAATTACATCCACATCTGAGGTCTGTATGCACAATCTTGCACGATTTTCATTAGTCACCTTACAAATGATGGTACAGAGAAGTTAGTTGCCTCTAAACATTTTTGTCAGGAGAGTTACATTTGCCAGCAATAATAGATTGTTGATGAAGACAGTAATCAGTTACTTGTGTGTTGAAGTTATTGAGTTAATGAGAATAGAATTTATTTACATTCCATAGATCCTTCATAGGCCCAAGCCAAGGCTGTAGAACACATCATAGCACAAACACAGTATGGCAGTAATTTACAGACAACTACATTATTACTGCAAAAATAATTACACAAGAAAGCATAACAACTATTGCTTACAAATATTTGTAATGGCTGGGAATTTTTTGTTGAGGTAAATTGTTCTGTAGAGTAGGAGCGAGATAAAAGCTATTCTTTTAGTTATGTGAATGTTGCTAAATGTGTGGTAGTGTATCTTCAAGATTCTAGACTTGTTGATGATTTATTTGTGGTCATAGATTCTGAATCACTTGTAGGAATCAGTTTCAGGAACAATTTTTCACATTTTGTTTCATGAAGTGTTTGCATTTTAGGTTCCAGAACAAGATGAGGAGAAAGAGACTCTGGGTATTCTTGAAGTGGCAGCAGTTCAAGGGGTGCTGCCAGAGGATGATAAAAGTGTTATTGAATTGAACTGCTTGGAAGAATTGCAGTTTGCTGATGATTCTGTGGAAACAGTGACTGTAATTTGTGGTGAGTTTCAAGAAGTCATTGATGCAGTTGACACAGGTAGTACACAGGAGGACAGTGGTGGAAACAGTGAAGAGGTGAATGTACATGATGAAGAGCAAGGCCTGATACTACATATATCATCAAGTAAAGAATCAAATGGTATGTCCACAGTCAAGAAAGAAGGAACAGACAGTGACAGACTGTTGGAAATTGGCACAGACCTTGAGGTGGGTTGCCTTGTGGAGTTAGAGAAACTGTCTGGGACAACATACACTCTGAAACCTTTTAAAAGTGAAGGACCTGATCAGTTGACGTCTGCAATGTCAGGTCTGCGGCGACGATACAAGTGCACAGGATGCATCAGGGTGTTCTCTACACTCAGTTCTCTGGACAAACACTGGGACACCTGTCAGCAAGAAGCGAACACTAAACGTGAACAGGAGCCAGGTGATGTAGATGCAACTAAGGAAGTACAAGAGCCAGATGTGAAAATTGAAGAGTGCTCAGAATCTGAAAAGTCATCTCAGAAACAAAAACGTGTTCGGTGGGGAGCGGCAAGGAAGTATCCCTGTTCAACATGTGGTAAGGTGTTCAAGATACCAGCAATGTTACGCAATCATGAGCGAGTTCACACAGGTGAACGACCATTCCTTTGTAGTTTGTGTTCACGCTCGTTCACGCAGATGTATGCCCTTCGTAACCATGAGCAACAGCACCGTGGAGAGTCTCCCTACCGATGTGAACAGTGTGGTAAGGGATTCTTCCGGCCTTCTGACCTTGAGAAACACACACGATCACACACTGGTGAACGCCCATTCATGTGTTCTGTTTGTTCCAAGGCTTTTCATCAGCTGAGTGGACTTGTGGTGCATGAACGAATACATACAGGTGAACGTCCTTATACTTGTTCCTTCTGTTCTATGTCATTTAACCAGTGGGCAAACAAGCAACGGCATGAAAAGACACATGCAGGGGGATCTAAGCCCTATTCCTGTGATGTGTGTCATAGGAAGTTTTCTGAACGGACAGAGATGGAGCTCCATCGTGCGGGGCATGGTGGTGGGCGTCCACGTGCTTGCCAGTATTGCTCAAAGTCATTCAGGAAGCCATCAGAATTGAGAGACCATCTGCGACGAATTCACACCAATGAACGTCCATATCACTGTGAGCTGTGTTCCAAGGCATTCTTTGTGGCACATGAACTGAAGCAGCACTTAATGGTGCATACAGGGGAACGGCCATTCACATGTTCATTCTGTCCGCAGACATTTACACAGAAAGGAAATCTGAAGAGGCATCTTGAACGACACCATCAAGGTGAGGCGGTGGATCAAGATGAGGCAACTCTCATAGTAGAAGAGGTTGATATTGATGACATGCAGCTTGCTGTGGTGGAAGCATCAGAATAGTGGGACCCTCCTGTCAGTAAATGAAGGTTATGAGAAGAGAAGGAACTATGCTATTAAGCAATTAATTGAATTGATATTACAGCATATGAGTACTACTCATAGAGTAGTTTATGTTTGAAACAGTCTAAAGCTTATTTCCTGCATTAATTAGAAATATTTACAAATATTGAACACATGCAGTAGTGTAAAGACTGCTTGAACACTGAGAAACACGAGAAAGAACGTGATAAAGACACTGCCAATAAGTAGCATGTTAGATGAAAAGCCGGTTTGATGAAGACCCCAAGATGAAACAGTATTCAACTGAGAACCCTAACCATACACTAAAATGTAGCTTTATTCCTCAGTGCTCAGGTTGGCCTGAAACTAATGTATCGGAAAGAAATTGTGTAAGTCACATTGGACTGTAAAAATAGGGGTTACTGTTTGAAATCAGATGGATCGTATTGTTTTAGTTTGTTAGCTGTTAAGAAGGTGCTCACAATTTTTTTTTCTCCTGCCTACATACTGCATCTCTGTTTCAGGTATGGCTTAATTTTTTGTATTTTATCTTATTCTCTCTTGTGAAAAGTGAAAAATTTAAAAGCAATGTTTTGATACAGTTATTCTTGCATTAAAATGTTATTCTTGTTTGGATATCAAATGTTTCATTCCTGTTTGTGGTTTGAAGCTGATGTGTTTGGCAATGTTGAATTTCCATACATTAATATAAACAAATACATAAGATTGCTTTGTAATTTACTGCTTTGTGTATATGAATGTAAGATGACAAATCCAAGAGAAACCAAAAGAAATAATAAGTTTAAGAGTAAATTCAGAATGATAAAAGTTGCAAAAAATTGATTCGTGAATGGGTGTCTATGCCTGCTTTCATGGACAGTAAATTTTTGTGTAACTGTTAGATTGATGTGTGTGAATTTGTCTTCTCAGTGTTGTGCACTAAGAAATTTTGGAAATTATACATTATTTTAATGTTTAAAGTGGCTAAATGATGTAGACAGTGAGTTAGTAAGATAAGGAATTAGTTTGTGGATGTTTAGTGCTGGAGCTGATATCTTAAAAGGAATGCAGGGTAGGCAGTTTAAGATTTTGAGTGTCATTGCTGCTTAAGTAAGAGAAGGTACTCGACTGAGATGAGAGACTGAATTTGACTCAAAAAATGACACTGGTTTGTATGAGTTATTGTTGGGTACAACACATCAAGTTAGCATAAGGATTAAGTAAGGCAGATAAAGTGAACTGGGTTAGATGCAATTATTAAGAGGAATCAAGTGGAAGCTTGCAAAATAATGGCAGGTTATAGAGTATTTTTTATATTCTTGGAAGTTGTGCAGATATTATGTAAATAAAAAGGTTATTGCAATTAAGAACAAAGAAAAGTATTACAAAACTGTGTTTTAGAGTTAAACATTTTATCGTCCTATTTTCTTCCGATTGAGCGTTCATATGCAATTTGTATTTTTTAAAAGATATAAGTTTTTGGCTTAATATGATACTTTTTCGACGTAAAAACGTCTATACGGAAGGGTCATTCGGCAAAAAAGTGAAACGAAAACGTGTAAGATCCATATCAACAATGTGTAAATATGGACCGACAAGACTAGATAATTTTGTGCTGGTGTAAACGTTTTAGAATATCACAAGTACTTATCTTATATAAGAATTATTACATTATATTACAGAGACGTATTAACGTCAGATTCTCCGGAACCGTGGTTGCACTGTCAACTTTTTTTTAGTTTGGCATTAGTGTAGATGCTCTAAATTCCGGCAGGGCTGAAAACATAAACCAAAATACAGGAAATACGTGTGGCGTAAATTTCCAGCGGATCGAATTTTGAAAATCCGTGCTGCTAAATATTAACACATGCAGTAATTTCGTAATGAAAGGGATAGTACCTTTATAATCTTTTACTTTTATACATCAGTAATCTATTTTGTCAGGTTCCTGTAAAATGCACTTGGAAGATTATCTTGTCAAGGTAAGATGAATAAAAAATGCAGCTGTTTTTCTTTGTTAAAAAGGTGAGTATTACAATATGATGACCGTGTATATGAGGTCTTTAACACATATCTAGATGATCCTCTATACTAGAAAATTGTGTATGCTTAATCCAACATAACCTCTCCCGAACTGAATTTATCTGTCAGTGGAATTCAAACATTTACTTACACGGGAGAAAACGTTCAAAATTATTCGTTTTCACTTTGCTGTTTTACATATACTGGAACATCTGTGCAACATGATGACTGTTTACTTGAGCATTTTTAGATCAGAACCATTTGACATTGTCCATCAAGACTTGTCACAAAATTTGTGTTCTCCAGATGTTTCCAATAAACTCATGTTGGCTGTGGTTTTCTGGGTTGTTGTACCATGATTAATAGACCAATCCCCCTGGCCTGATGTTTCTCTTAAGCTTCTATAAACCATCCACTACCTAACACGCCTCACGCGAGTCTTTAGAAACGAAGCAGGATGAAGATGACTGTCTTTTGGGTTATTGCACCGTGTAGTGTGGTAGAAGTTTACCAACGTTTCAGAGGGCCTTACAGCCTCCAGACTACGCAGCGCAACATCCCAGAAGACAGCTATCTTCAGACTCAATGTTGTGAAAGCCTCAAATCTTACTTGGGAAGCAGGATATTCCTGCAAAATGTTGGAATACAGCCAAAATAACACATGACACAAGAATCCAGACCATAATCAGTATTTGTATTATGATGTGTTCCACATCCTTGGCTTGTACTATGAAGAAGGGCTTGTGAAATGTAAATACATGAATTCAAAATATTTTACATTTGATAGGCACCACCAACAGTGTATTATATACCAGATTTTATAACACTGGATGAGGAGAAACGGATAATTGAACATGTCAACTCGGCCCCGAAGCCAAAATGGACACAGCTTTCACATCGTCGATTGCAGAACTGGGGAGGAATTCCTCATCCAAAGGGCATGATAGCAGAAAAGTTACCTGAGGTAATGCACTCATTTCTTGACGTTAACTGCAGAGATTATGTCAAGATAAATAGAAGGAATTTTCATTTTTAATTATGTAATGATGCTGTCAGTGGCTCAGGCTGACGGCCTATAGCACTGAATAATGGGGTAATTAATGAACAATGAATTATTGGAAATGACATGGAAATAAGTGGTCATGGCATAAATCATGGTACTATTCTGGCATGTCTAGAGGGACTGAGGAAAACCTCAAAAAACCTCGGGCAGGATATCTGGTCTCTGGTTGGAGGTTAGAACATTGGACATGATGATGGTGGGTAACTCTTAGGCATGACCAGTGATTCTTTTATAGAAAGAAAAATGTCACTACTCAGATATGAGAGTAAATTTCTAATGTAATATAAATTAGTGACTAGGGGCAAATAAAAAAGGCCTACATATTTCATACTCCCTTATTTCTTTTATTCTTAGTGACTTGTTTTAAATTTAATTCTTATTTTATGAAACAGAACTCAAAAATTGTACAGTTGTCTACCGCCAAAAAAGTCCCTGACTATTAAACAGCTGTAGCCACTTCAGATACTAATCTTACTGCCTTCTCATATTGTCACGCTACGCAAATTTCATTAAGCGAATACGACTAAAATACGGCCCAATCGTCAAAGAAAAGATGGTACAATTCCTCTTTTGTCTTATTTGTTAAATAAAAATCTACGGAGCTCAGTGGAGCACATACTGTAATTTCTCCTTAAATATTATATAACCTCATCATTTGGTACAGCATCAGTAAAATATGAATGGACTGATGCTTGCTGTTTGCGAGCTTTCTTCAGATTGGTATTTGAACTAAATGGTTTTCTTTCTCTCTGCAGTGGCTGTTGGTGTTTACGGACAAGATCGGCAAGCTCGGTTTGTTTGGCGGGAAACAGCCAAATCATGTCTTAGTGAACGAGTACTTGCCCGGTCAAGGCATCATGGTAAGTTAGTCGTGCATACCACGTGTTTAGAGGTAAAACTGATAAAGCAGCTGAGAAACTATACAAAAATACATAAAAGGAGCTTAACAATTATTACTCAAATGTAGTAAGATAAAAAAAATCATATAAAAGTTTCAAAATTCTAGGTCAAGAGACCGTCTGGATGAGCTAAGCACATAATTTTAGTTGAAGACTTGAACGAAGAAACAACTTGGGAGATCTTGGTATAGATGGGAGGATAATATAAAATGGACCTTAAGAAATGGTAAAGTAATGATGTCCTACTACACACTACGGAGGGGCACATGGGAGTGAGTGGTCAGCATCACGCCCTTGCTGTGTGCTTTACCCCCAGGAGAAAGGACCCCTGATACCTGTTTGGATAGGAAGCTCGGTGGGCCCCTCAGCTGGTCTGGATACACAGGGTAGAATAAAAATACAGTGTCTAGTATCAAACTCATTTGAACATGGTAATGAACCCTAGAGTCCCCAAGAGCTATGTTGGCGGTAGCGTAGCTACTGGTAGGGCCTCCCTAGCCAGATTGGTCGAGGGGAAGAGGTCAGACTAAGATAGGTACCCTGGTCCTCCAGGTTGGGGGTTGGTTGCAAGGCTAACAACCTTGCGCCGTAAAGAGGAAGATGTTTCGAAACCTCAATCGAAGCCTCGGACAGACGGACCTAACAGAAGAGGAGAATTGAGGAGGCCATGGACCGAATACGGACCGGAGTGCCATAGAAGAAGAAGAAGAATGAACCTTAGAGTTCCATAAAAGGTAGAAAATGTCTTAAGATGGTTGTCTTCTGGGTTGTTGCACTGTGTAGTGTGGTAGAAGTTCACCCTGATGATGGAGGCAGCAACATATGTAAACTTGTACCAGACTACAAGGCGCAACAACAACCCAGAAGACAGCCGTCTTAAGACTTACCGCCATTAAAACCTCAGATCCTACTTAGAAAATGTCTTCAGCAGCTGAAAAAGTAAGATGGAGTCAAGCCACTTAAATTGCAGCAAAGATCTCGTGCGCTCCAGAGCGCTTAGCAGGAATTGAACACTGGCCATCCAGCTTCTAACCACTTTATTGACTGATCTATTCTGGTTTATGTCAGAGTAACCACTTCCGTGTTCTATTGCAGCCGCATCTGGATGGACCACTGTTTTATCCAACTGTGACTACCATCAGCTGTGGATCTCACGCTGTGCTGAACTTCTACGTCCCTTGCCAGTCAGACAGAGTGGATATGCAATCAGCGGTGAGTTTCTCACGTTGTGAACCAAGATTTTACTGAAGACGACTGTCGTCTTCTGCGGCGTTGCACATTTCAGAGGTGCTTGCTGCTTCCATCATTAGGGCGATCTTTGCCCTGCACCCATCTTTTATGTAGGAAAATTTCACTTTTTATGATCAACATGTCAGAAAACATTTATAATACTTTTAAAAAAAATTTAGTTTATATAATTTTGAGCCATACGATTTCAACACCAAAGGCTTTAATATTTTTTGAAGTTGTTTGAGAGACAGTCTCCCACTTTGGGGGTTACATTTTTTTATAATTTCAATCGAAGTAAAGAATTAATCGAATGAATTAACTACACCACTCTCCCCACAATGTATTGGCAGGTGGCTATTTCATCAGCAGGTGTATCAACCCTGAAGAGGGAGGTGATACATCCTCACAAACACTTTTAATTGACATCTTTACCACCGTGAGCAGTTTAAATCGCAGGTGAACCATATTCTAAAATGGAACGTTCCCTGTTGCAGGACGATTTGAGGGTGGCATCGCTGCTACTGGAAAGGCGCAGTTTGGTGGTGTTGGAGGATGACATGTACGTCGGATACCTGCACGGCATCGCGGAGGTGGAGAATGACATCGTGAACGGTTCAGAGGCAAACCTGGAACTGTGTAGTGGCCGGTACGCAAGCGGCGCAGAGCTACAACGGACCGCGCGCATCTCGCTCACTGTGCGCCATGTCCCGCGCACTACCAAACTGTGTATACAAGTGGGCAGATGATGTAGAATGCCACGCCTACTGTCACCTTGTGAAAAAAGTTGTGAGGTGCGGACGTCTGTGCTCGACGGCCACGGAGACTGTCCGACACGGTGTTGCTCCGGCAAATAATTCTTTTTGGTAGAAACCATAGCAAAATGTTCCCTTAGTTATTCTGACGTGACGTCACCCAATGAAACCAAAGAGGACAGCAGCACTGTAAGATCAGAAAATGTCTTAGGACGGAGATTAAAAAGAGCACTGGCCCTGAACACCATTAATAAACGGAGTTATTATATGTTTTCAGACATTAATAATTAAGATTAGGATGAAACTGGATTAATATCTGTAGTCATTATTCGATGAATAAAGAACCTTCTAATGGAAATGCAGATTTATAATAACTCATTTGAAAATGTTTGAAGAAGAGAAATGTGATTCGTGATTAAATTTGGAAATTCTTTTGGCAAGAAGAAAAATTTTGTCTTCGTGGCAGAGGACGCTGAACTTGGTGAGATCTCACGTTCTTATGGTGGCAAGTATGAAGATGGCTTTTCTTTTAGTTAATACACCGTGCACCATTTCAGAGGTGCTTGCTGCCTCCATCACCATCGTCCTGAGTACGCCTCCCGGTCAGGTTGGTCCCTATGGCTCAGGAACGAAGCGCAGTAGAAGAACGACCCCCAAGGCAAGTTTTGTTTGCTCGGATGAGGAGAGTACAGGAACAGAGCCCACAACCACGAAAAATCTGTCGTGGGTTCGAGTCCCGGTGAATTTTTTTTTTTTTTTTTTGCTTTTACCTAAAACCTGAGCCCCGGTGGAAATTGACGTGAATGCAGAAGAAAACTGGTAACTTGAAACAGATGATAAAACGCTTGGAAATCAAGTTAACTCATGCTTTAGGAATATCTCGTTCAAACGACCCAGATTCTATAATGTATGCACTATATCGCGATAAACTTGAACTGCGAGCAAATTATATTTTAGCTACTCGAAGCTTATACAGTGCTCCATCTGTCAAGAATTCATCTATTGCCCCTTCATCTTATTTATTATTTATTTAGTGTTCTGTCTGACGACAGGTCCATATGAACAGGATCCTTCCATCCTTTTCTCGGACTGGGACCTGTTCATATACGTTCTTGGCAGATGATCCAGAAGCGGTTTGCCATTGCCTTCTTCTGTGTGAGTGTGAATGGAGTAATTGTTGGGATGCCAATGAGGAAAACTCCGTGTTGCCTAGGCCACGGCCTTGCCCAACACAAGTTAGAAATTTCACAAACACTTTTAATTGACATCTTTACCACCGTGAGCAGTTTAAATCGCAGGTGAACCATATTCTAAAATGGAACGTTCCCTGTTGCAGGACGATTTGAGGGTGGCATCGCTGCTACTGGAAAGGCGCAGTTTGGTGGTGTTGGAGGATGACATGTACGTCGGATACCTGCACGGCATCGCGGAGGTGGAGAATGACATCGTGAACGGTTCAGAGGCAAACCTGGAACTGTGTAGTGGCCGGTACGCAAGCGGCGCAGAGCTACAACGGACCGCGCGCATCTCGCTCACTGTGCGCCATGTCCCGCGCACTACCAAACTGTGTATACAAGTGGGCAGATGATGTAGAATGCCACGCCTACTGTCACCTTGTGAAAAAAGTTGTGAGGTGCGGACGTCTGTGCTCGACGGCCACGGAGACTGTCCGACACGGTGTTGCTCCGGCAAATAATTCTTTTTGGTAGAAACCATAGCAAAATGTTCCCTTAGTTATTCTGACGTGACGTCACCCAATGAAACCAAAGAGGACAGCAGCACTGTAAGATCAGAAAATGTCTTAGGACGGAGATTAAAAAGAGCACTGGCCCTGAACACCATTAATAAACGGAGTTATTATATGTTTTCAGACATTAATAATTAAGATTAGGATGAAACTGGATTAATATCTGTAGTCATTATTCGATGAATAAAGAACCTTCTAATGGAAATGCAGATTTATAATAACTCATTTGAAAATGTTTGAAGAAGAGAAATGTGATTCGTGATTAAATTTGGAAATTCTTTTGGCAAGAAGAAAAATTTTGTCTTCGTGGCAGAGGACGCTGAACTTGGTGAGATCTCACGTTCTTATGGTGGCAAGTATGAAGATGGCTTTTCTTTTAGTTAATACACCGTGCACCATTTCAGAGGTGCTTGCTGCCTCCATCACCATCGTCCTGAGTACGCCTCCCGGTCAGGTTGGTCCCTATGGCTCAGGAACGAAGCGCAGTAGAAGAACGACCCCCAAGGCAAGTTTTGTTTGCTCGGATGAGGAGAGTACAGGAACAGAGCCCACAACCACGAAAAATCTGTCGTGGGTTCGAGTCCCGGTGAATTTTTTTTTTTTTTTTTTGCTTTTACCTAAAACCTGAGCCCCGGTGGAAATTGACGTGAATGCAGAAGAAAACTGGTAACTTGAAACAGATGATAAAACGCTTGGAAATCAAGTTAACTCATGCTTTAGGAATATCTCGTTCAAACGACCCAGATTCTATAATGTATGCACTATATCGCGATAAACTTGAACTGCGAGCAAATTATATTTTAGCTACTCGAAGCTTATACAGTGCTCCATCTGTCAAGAATTCATCTATTGCCCCTTCATCTTATTTATTATTTATTTAGTGTTCTGTCTGACGACAGGTCCATATGAACAGGATCCTTCCATCCTTTTCTCGGACTGGGACCTGTTCATATACGTTCTTGGCAGATGATCCAGAAGTGGTTTGCCATTGCCTTCTTCTGTGTGTGAATGGAGTAATTGTTGGGATGCCACGGAGGAAAACTCCGTGTTGCCTAGACCACGGCCTTGCCCAACACAAGTTATAAATTCGGGCACCCGAGACCCCAGGATTACAAGGCCAGTGTTCTAACCGCTAGACCACCGTGGCTCTATCGAGCCAGAATCTAAACTGTGTGACCTGAACAATATTAATACATTTTTGAACGCAAATCAACTTACGTAAATATTTTACGAAAAATGGGTTTGGACAGTTAATGTTAAAAACTCGACCTACAATAAACCGCTACATCGACTCCTGACTTCGAAATGATAATACCTACTTTCTAATACATATTCTCCCTAGGAAAGTAAGCGCGATAAAAGAACATCGCCGGGACAAAAGTTGTTTGTTTACAGGAACGAAAATTTGTCCTGGACTCTAGTTCCTGTGATAATGCTTTTGTAGTTCGGAAACTAAGTGTGATGGATAAATGACGCCTGGCAGAAATTCTTCATCTCGGCGTGAAGATTGCAGGAACAGGGTTCACGAACCCAGGGTAACATTGACTTGACACAAAAATGGAAAGGACGAGGACCACAGGAACTGTACGTTCCACATCCCCCACAAATTGATTGTGAATTCCAATTGGAATTTGGAGATTTCATTTCTACTATTCGTTTTCTGCTATTAAGATATTACTTAGAGAGTTAAAATCGCATTTGCCAACTTCGGCTTTTCAGACAGGGCTCGGTTTCTTAAATCCATTATTCCCCCACGCGCCGAATTATGGGAGAATTATACAGCAGCTTTAATCCTCTTTTGGAAAAAGTCTCGTTTTCAACCCAAAACACTGTCGCACAAGCCACTTGCATTGTCCAGGTGGCAGTGATAAAGCACCAACAACGTCTTTATTACCTAATTTTCTATTATTCTACAGTCCTTTGTGATCGTGTTATTTTTCCCCATTCACGGAAAGGAATTCCCTACAAGCGACAGTTTAATCCGATCAGCGTAGCATACGACGTCGCGTCAGATATTTGCACTCAACAGACAGGCAGCTGTTTGCAGTTGTACTGCGTTCCAGCGTTTTTGGGCGCTGAACTTTGTGAATTGGAACCTCGGAGCGAGTCACTTACCAGAAGTTTTCTGGAAGGAATGGCGGCAGGCCGCGTACAGTACACTCAAAACAAAGTATCACGAAGGTATATAACATAGACAAGTAGATTTCACTACAGATCACTAGAAAAATTAACGCTGCAGAGAGTATTAGATATTTTATCTTCTTCACAACTCTTAGGTCCTCTCCCAATTATTCCACGCCTCAAAGACCATCGCTTTCTGACATCACTCGATTCATCATTACCGCTGCTGTTGTCCACTCCATTGTCTTCAATTATATATATATATTAAATCTATTAGTGACAAAGCGGGACTAGGCGTGACGTACTATAACGGCGTGACGAGATGTGGCCATAAGTGCCCAAACATGATGAAGATTTTCAAAACGTTACCTAATATAACAAAATCCACTAAACAAACTTAACCTAACCTAACCTATCCTAACCTAACATATCCTGTCCTAACTTCATCTAACTTGTATCTTATATGCGTCATGTTTGTGTTTGATTAAATATATATATATATATATATATATAAATGTTTTAATATTATATAATTTTTACAACACCAATAAACTTAAAACGTTTGTGTATAGACTGTACAAAATAAATATATTCATCTAACTTGTTGCAAAGTAGCGAAAACTAACCGAGACGTTTGTAACATAACGTAAGCGTGCATAAACTTGACTTAGTGACCACGCGTGCACAAGCGTGACTAAACGTGACCTGCGTTCACGTCGTCACAAAGGAAAATCAAATGTGACAAAGATTTACAAAGCGTGAGTAGGCGTGACGAGAGGTCACCATAAGTGTTATAATACGACGAAGATTTGAAATTTGTGTCTAATAGTGACCAAGCGTGCCTCAAGCGTGACTAAGCGAGACCTACATTCACGTCGTGACAAAGGATCAGCAAATGTGTCGAAACGTGACAAAGATTTAAATGTGTGTCTAAACGTGCTCAAGAGTGACATGGCGTGACTAGGCGTGACGAATTGTGGCCATAAGTGTCATAAGTCACAAAAATATTGAGGCTTCCACACTGGTACACTGACAGAGACTGTACTGACCGACGGAAACTCCTTCCTTCCTTCAGTGAGTGGTCCGCATACTGGGCACTCCCTACCAGGTCAGCGGCCATAATCGGTGGATCTAGTTCTTAGTTCCAGGATTTACCACCAGAAACTGCCACTAACGAATTGCGATCCATGTAAAGAATACTTGAAGCATGGCTACGTGCTATGGGAAGAACGGAACGAGAGAAGGAACATCGCCCCCCAAAAAGGTGTTGCGGTAACGGATTTACAATAGCCACAAGCGTCTATGGTCTTGCTCGCTCGTTCGCAAGGAAATAAGAATTTGACGCCGAATTAAAGAAGGCCATGGCGACAGGGAAACAGGTCTGGCGTGACGCATTGTTTGCTTCCCTCTAAAGGCCAATAAAACTAATAAAGAACAGCGTGACAGGAGCAGCACCTGGCGGTCGACATTATTACCATGGAAACACGCCT